GTTCGGACCTCTCCTACAGCTCTGGAGAGTGGAGGGCGGAAAATACGATTCAAACCCGCCTATGAGCTGTGGGAGGGCGGGGGCAGGACCTGGTTTAAGAAACCAACCGCTGGAGCTTGCAGGCCTCCTGCCCCGAGGTTGCTCCAGACCACTGCGTTTATTTTCCTTTCGCAGGGAAGGCAGATGCTTCCCTGGGCCCGGAGTCAGCGAGATCTTCGCCCAACCATTTGCTTGCCTGCGCCACCCCCTACTGGGGCGCTATCCCCCGGAGTGGACTCTCCAGGCCTTTAAACCTTAGGGAATGTCACACATGGAAAACTTTAGCAAATGTTTGTTAATGATCATAACAAAGGCATCATTTAAATTAGGCAGGTAATTACTACCAGAAGAGCAACTGGGTGCTCCATACTCATCCGTTTCTCTGCTTTAAACGTCTGAGGAGTTACTGCCCCAAGATAGCCAAGCCGGCCCACTTTTCGGACTCCTTTAAAATTCTTCTGAAATGAACTGTGAAGTTACCATTTGTGGGCGGAGAACGCAGGGACCCGGTTTGAGAGAGACCATGGTGGTGGGACAGAGCTGGCAGTGTCCCTTGCAAAGGAGGCTTGCTTCTGCAGGATCCCAGCCTCTGTTTCTGCTATTCTTGGGTACCTACTACAAAAACCTAGATCTCGACTTTGCCACCCCACCCCACCCCTCTCTCTGTGTGTGGGTGTGTGCGCGTGTGCGTGCGCGCGCGCGCACGAGCGCGTATGCAGGAGTCCTTCGCATCCTGTTCATTATCTACAAACATTACGGTATCCTGCTAGCATTCCGAACAAGGGGCTGTTCATACATTTCACCTTCAATGATTTCCTGAAGGAACATGTGGAAGTAATAGCGAGCAGGGTAGTCACCCCGAGCTGAAGACACACCAGAGGCAGGCGTGCAGAAGGGCGGAGAACTGGGGCTCCCAGCCCAGCCCCAGGCATCCTTTTCCTGAGCGCGACACCCCCACAATCCTATCCCATTTAGGCACTACACTCAGCATTTCGGGGAGACCTTCTCAACTTCAGCCCCAGATCCACTCTTGGTGAAGGAGGAGGTTACTCGACGTTTTGTTGTTCACCTGGCCACCTTGTGCATTTTTATGTTGGTGTGTGAGATGTGGTAGGGAGGGTGGGGGAGATAAAGGGCTGCTCTCATCTCCCCTACCAACAGAATTAAAAAAAAAAAAAAAAAAAAAAAAAAGAGCGCAAGTCGAAGGCCTTCCCTTCCCCCACCCTCGATGGGAAGTCCCGCTTCACCCAGGTCTGGTTTCTGGAGTGTCAGCGCCCCCTTTCCCTCATCAGCAGGATCGCTGTGTCCAGCTGTCTTTCGCTGGGTGTCTAGGGTTCCCGGGTTTGTAGCTCAACCTCCCGAAAGCTTTGGTAGGGTTCTTTGGGTACTACCGGTTCGGATAGGATGGGATTTAGGAGCGTCAACATACTTCTCTCAAGATGAAGTTGACTAGTCGTGTGGTAGTCACGCCTAACCTGAGCTTTCTCGTATGAAGATAGAAGCGAGGACCAGATAACCGCGAAGACAAAGGCAGGGCAGATAAGTGGCTCCAAGGGGACAAAGGTCGTTCTTCTGGAGAACAATCTGAAGGTACGCTGAGCAACCGTTATTTGCACACCGTCTCTCACTCAGTCTTTCAAAACCCCATCATCCTCGTATTAGACTCCGCTGTTTCCTAATCCCATTAAAGGATTAGCAGCTACACAGTACTTTCCCTTAAGACCCCCAGTTCAAAACGACGCAGCCGCGTTAGGATTTCTCCCCAGGGCCATATTTCGGGCTGGGCCCGGAATATCCACAGAAGGGAAAATTTGCATTTTAGATTTATATTCGCTTTGGAAACTAGCAGCAATTTTACGTGCATTTTCTGTTCGAGGGGAATACAAAACAATAGCACAGGAAAATATCCCCCAGTTGGGGAAGCCGACTCATTTTGGAAATGAGGGCTTTTCGTAGTCATGAAACTTCCCCCCCCCCCCGGCAGAACGTCAACACCTCCCTCTTCAGCCACCCCCATCCCATCTGGTTTGCTCCCCCCCCGTTGTTGTTGAAGTTTGGGGGTTGGGGCTGGACCCCCTGATTGCATAAGAGCAAGAAGCACTGGAGAGGTCTGGAGCGGGAGAGATTCTGAGAGCAAGAAGTTGAAGGAAGCTTTTATTTTGAAGAGGCCAAGAGGGGGGGGGACTTCATTTCCTGACAGCTATTTACTTTGAGCAAATGATTAGTTTTAGGAGGATGGACTATAACATTGAATCAATTACAAAATGCGGGTTTTGAGCCCATTACTGTTGGAGCTTGAGGGAGAGAAACAAACTGCAAGAGAGTACTGGAATCTTGAGGCTTACTTTTTACTTCGTGTATAGGATTTACCTTGCGAATTGACATAGAAGGAGAAGGTAAGGGAGAGGAAAAAGTGACTTTTGTTTCTAAAGGAAGTCTCCGATCATATCTTGGGGTTGGAAGAAGCGAAGTAATTCAAATTTTGGGCAACAAGGAAAACAAAAACAAAAAGCTGAATCCCAATGGTGTGTCCAGAAAGTATTTTTTTTCCCCCCCGAATAAACTTCTCTGGGATTGGGATAACCATAGAGTTAGTCCAAGGACTAACTAAACTAAAACCAGTTTTTTCTCCAGACCTATTTTTAAAAGCAATGTTTTCTAACAATCCTATAGCTCCCCAAAGAAATTGCTAGGCTTGCATTTTTGAGGTTTTTCTTCAGGGTGGGGGTGGCATTCGTGCATACTGGGACGAACACCAAGTAACATTGGGGGTGGAAGTAGCGGTGTTCGGCCTCTTGGCAGTTGGTCCTGGAAGAGGACAGGTTTTTAATGAGTATTTTCATTCGTCGCCCGCGGTTTGGCTGGACTGCGCTGTAGCTAGTGGTGTGGCTCGGAGGCGGGGGGGGGGCGGGCGGAGTAGGGGGCGCTAGGAGAGGTGTGGGAGAGAGGGGCAACGAGTGGGGCGCGGGAAAGGACTAGGAGAAAGGGAGGTGTGAAGGGCTCGGCTGGAGGAGGACGGACCTCGGGTGCCGGCCGGGTACACACGGCGCCAGGCAATCCCTCGTAATTACTGGACGGCGCTGCTGCTGGAGAGGGCTGTGGCCAGGCTTGAGCGCGGCGGTGGCGGCAGCGGGACCAGGAGAGGGGCTCGCGGGTGAAGGGTGACGGCTCCCAGGGCTCCCGAGAGTTCGGGCCGAGTCATTTGGGTGCTAGAAGCCGCGGGGCGGGATCTGCAGTGCGCTGGGATCTCGCGCCTCTCATCCCGGCGACGCTGGCGGCGGCGCGGACGAACGATCTGGAATAATGACAAACACATTTGGCCCTGAGTGAAGAAGTCGTCCTGGCCTCGCATTCCAGCAACTGGGATTTGAGGAATTTCGAACTGCACTCCGAGGGGCCCTCATTGTGTTCTGTAGTCCCCACCCCCACTCTACTCGCCTGCGTCCTCGGTGGAGTCTTCTCTGCTGGGCCGGGGGGCCTGGCCTTTGCTTAGTCCTGGCCGCAGGCAACCTAGAGGCGAGATCTCCGGCTAGGAGCTGGTCTTCTTGTGAAGAAGTTAGGGACAACTCTGAACGCACAGCCGTGGGTCCAGGTAAGCAGAAAGGCGAGAGGCCAACCACCCTTGCCTCCTGCCTAGCGCCTCTCTGCCCTGGGATGATGCTCGCTAAGCTCTGGCTGCCTGAGCGCAACCTCTCCCGCGCTCCTGTCCGCTTTTTTGCTTCCAACACTCACTATCCTGCAAGGTTTAGGAGCGGTCTCCGAGCAGCCCTCCCTCCTTCACCGTTCATCGCTGTGGAAATCAGTTTACACACGTGAGATTAATTTCCCCCAAACTCCGGCAGTGCCGGGGAAGCGGGAGACATCCTCTTGGCTTTGAAACCTCGTCGGTGGGGTCGGCGATTCTTTCTGTTTGGAAAGGGTGTGGGCCAGTCTACAGAGCAAGGCAGTATGGCTCGGCCCCAGCCAGCAGCGGGACCAAGCAAGAGTTTCGCGGCCAGGTGTGCAGGAGCTGCTGGTGACTTGGCGACCGGCCTTGGCTAGAAAGGAAGTGCTGGCCTGTTGGTCTACTATGAGTCGGTCTTGCCCCGGAGTGCAGGATCCGCACTAAGCGCTCCCAGCCCCGCTAAGACCTCAGGATGTAAGGAAAGTGTCCGGAAGAAGATTGTCACTCGGGAACCTAAGCTGGGGAGGGGGCGTGGGTGGCCCTTATTATGTCTGGGCTGCCCAGCGTCGGACGGAGCTACCCAGAAAAACCCCAGTCTGGGCGGTGTGGGAAACGGTTTTTTTGGCTTCGTGGTGGAATTGCTCAATGTTTTGGACTGCCTTGCTTCTCCTGGATGGCTTCAGACTTGGGCAGCCCTTTGGAGCTGAAGGAGGCCTCTAGTGTAAACCCGCACTATGGTCCCCTGCTGCACATCCCCAGACAGAACACCCAAAGATGCAGAAAGAGGCGCGAAGCGGGGTTGGGGTGGGGTGGGGTGGGGGCGCTCCTCGGAGTGCGCGCCTCTGCCGTCGCACTGGCGGTGGCTTTTACATAACCTCCCTTGTGGTCTGGTTTTCCCGGGCCCAGGCTTCCCTTCTCTTCCTCCCTCTTAGCGTCTTCCCTTCCGAACTCCACTTGGTCAGGATTCCTTCGTTTCCCCGACAGGGGTGTGTGTGTGTGTGTGTGTGTGTGTGTGTGTGTGTGTGTGTGTGCGCGCGCGCCTGTGCTTGTGCCTGTGCTCCAATTTGTCGCCGTGGTCAGTCCCTGCTTTGGAACTCTCGCAAAGGCCCTGTTTTTGGATTGATTATAGCACAGCTGGACTTACTTAGCTCGCAGGAGAGAGGGTAGCGAACACAGCCCAACTCCACCCCTAGTCTCTGTTCCCTGCTTTTGCTCTAGTCTGGAGACCCGCAGGGATTAGAATCAGAACTCGGTTTCCCAGTTCTGGGCTCAGGGGCTTCGACTTTTTTCCCCAGGCGCCCGCTAGGGAGAGATGCAGGGGGAGGGGCTTCGGGCTGGGCTTCCAGCTGCAAACGCGTCAGGCGCCGAGGCGGGCGGGATTTCTGCCTCCTGGGGACAGGACCTAGGCTGCGCGCGACCTGGGGACGTGGTGAGCAGCTTTCGGCCTGCGGACCTCGAAGGGTGGGACCCCCTCTGGCCTTCAGTGTGCTGCGTTTAGGTTAAAGGTAGCTGATGGGAAAGTGGCAATTCTAGACGAAGGGCTGGCAAGCTGGATAGGTGACTCAAAGGTGAGGCTTAGCGACAGTCGGGCCCCGAATGTTGGGTTGGCCCGGAGGCATCGGCCTTGGGGAGGAGTTGTGGAGGGGCTCTTGTGGAAAGAGTGCAGAGTCCCGGCAAGCAGCTTTTCCGGACCATTCTGATCCTAGCCCTACTGGTGCATGCTCCCCCACCCCCGTAGTTTAATGTCTTTTTCTTTTGTTTTAAACTGTAGGGCGAAATACGAGTTGGAGTTAGATGGTAGGAGGGGATAAAAGAAAGCCTCGGACTCGGGGAGTTCCTTCCCTGGCCTTCTACTTCAATTCTCTCCCTCCCGGGAGGAAGAGACGCTAGAGGCACGAATGGGAGCGGGGGGGGGGTGCTCAGGGACAGGGCAACAAAGGGGCAAGGTGGGCACTCAAAACCAAATCCCACAGAGGACTTGGTCCAGACTTCGGCACAGGCGGCTGCGGGCGATGCTGACTCTGGTCTATAGGAGGCGCTGTTGCTCGCCTGTAACCCTAAACCTGGGACTCCTCTCCCTCCTCCCTGCTCAGCGTCCACCCAGGTCGCAGTTGAAAACAATGCAAACGCTGAGTGTAGAGCCTGGGGTGCGGCGGTCTCCGGAGCCCTGAGCTGGGCGGATCAGGGACTTGGGATTCCGGGGGCAGATCCGCGGCGCCTGGTATCTGGTGGCGATCTTGTGGCGGGGAGCTCGAGGAAGGCAAAGGGATCCAGGGTGTTCCGTGTGTGTGTGTGTGTGTGTGTGTGTGTGTGTGTGTGTGTGTGTGTGTGTGTGTGTGTGTGTGTGTTCGAGAAAGGCAAAGGGAGTCAGGGTGTTCGGTGTGTGTGCGTGTGCGAGTGTGTGTGTCGCGATCTGGAGCCTGCCAGCGCGGAACCACCGGGAGAAGTAGGCGCGCTGAGTGCTGCGCTGTTGGGGACCAGGATCCTGAGCTGTAGGCGACCGAGCCAGCGGGTAAGATCAGCAAGGCTGCCGCGCCCTCTAGTGGCTCCCGCGGAGCGACCCTTGTCCCATCAGCCTTGGGCGGTCGGAGCCGCAGTCCCTGGAGCTTTGACGTGGGAGCCCAGAGCACCAGAGTTTGGGTGTACGTGGGTCGTTCTTGAGTCTCCGTGCGGGCACTGTGTGGACGCAGAGAGGGGTTGGATGGACGAGGGTGGGTTGAGGGTCCTGTTTGATCTGGAAAGTTGGGGCATCATAATTTAGCAGAAGGTGGGTGGAGGGGATGGGGTGGATTTCGGACCCAGCTGTATGTTGGACATTGGCCTGCTTGTGCGTCCAGGCTGGCACTGTTGCTGTTTGTTTTACGACCCCGGGTTACTGAGCTGGGTTTATGAGCAGTGACAATAGGATACCAGGGGAAGGCGTCCTGTCCTGGACGGGTGCAAAGGCAAAGAGCGTTGTTTCCTCTAAACCCAGTGGCTAGTTCTGATAAACATTTGCGGCCTGGCCAGCAGCGCTGTCTTCCTGGCTTCCACAGCGCGGCTGCTGCTTCTTGGTCCCTCTCTAGGCAGCGGTGATGATAAGGCTGGTGGTGATGCATGCGATTAAGTTTGTATCTCACCGAATTCTCCTAGAGTCCTCAAGGAAATTTAGGGATTTTAGACGGCACTTTTGTTATTTTTGCTTTCACTCCTCGGAGTTTAACTGCAAATCAACCTAAAAGCGCAACCTAAGAGGTTGTAAAAGTTGGAGCATTTTAGCTCCCAGTTGGTTTCAATGGCGCCTGCAGCTCAGTGAACGCCAGGATGCTGGTTCTTGAACCAACACTGCCATCTGCTGTTCATTCTGGAGAACTGCATATATCTCTGAGCGGGTTTGGGAAACTCCAAATTGGCAAAAGGGGAAGTTGCTTTTTTTTCTCCTCACTTTAAAAGTTTTAATTTTTTTTCTGTGTTTGGGTGTTTTTCTTATATGTGTGTATATGAACAATGTGCATGCCTGGTGCCTTATAAGACCAGAAGAGGGTGTCAGGTTCCTGGGTCTGAGCTGCCACGTGAGTACTAGGAATTGAACCCAGAACTCAGTCAGTGACTTTAACCATTGAGCCATTTTTTTCAGTCCCTACTCCCCCACACCCTTTTGCTCTTGAGAAGCTGAAAGGTGATTTTGATAATTTTTCTTTCCTATGAATCTGTATTGATCACTGGAAGAACAGATTTTATTTTTCAGACATTTGTGTAGTTTCTAGCTTAATTTGTGTGTGTCTATATATATATATATGTGTGTGTGTGTGTGTGTATATGAGCCTTCAAATGCTAGATGAGCATTGTAGCCACTGTGCGAAACCAAGTTAATCTTTTTTGTTTGGTTGCTTTGGTTTTTTGAGACAAGAATTCTCTGTGTAGCTCTGACTATCCTGGAATTCCCTCTGTAGATCAGGCTGGCCTAGAACTCAGAGATTCCCTGCATGCCTCTGTCTCCTGGGCACTGGGATCAAAGGTGTACGCCACCCCCCTAATTGTTTAATCTTTTATACTTGCATAATGAACTGTGTTTATAGAGCAGACCTGTAAGGGAGGTAGCAGGGGTTTTACTTTCTGCAAATCTAGTATGTGGTCTTGGTGACTTCAAGTTGTTTTGTCTGTTCATTTAGTGAAGGTCTGAAGGAAGTATTTCTTTATTCCCTCATAGTTATATATCTAGTACAAGGAGACCAGAAAGATGCATGGACTCAGGCTATCCCTTAAAATGCTTTTATGTGAGATTGTCCCAATCACTGCCCCTCATTGGAATATCTAAGAGTGGGCTCTGGCAAGTCCTGGGAATATACTCTGTGCTGGAAAACACTGCAGACCCATATTTAAGCTGCCTGAGCTAAAGCGGCGAGACTGAAGAAAGACAGCGAGGAAAAACAAAACAAGATGTATTATTTCCGTAGTTAGAATTAAGTTAGGAGCACTGGGAGGAGCCACGCCTCAGAGATCTGAATCTTGAAGGGCTGAGAGTCGGTTGGTCTCCAGTGGGCTTTAATTGGGACAGGGTGGGGTGGATTTCCGTGTCCACTGGTTGAGCTGTGGAACCCAAGCATTGTACCCTTGGTGTCAGGGAAGCTGGCTCTAGCCTCCGGGCAATGGCAGCTCTTCTGGAAAGGACGCTGTTGAACTGCTTGCATCCTGATTACTTTTCAAGTTATCCTGTGGTCTCTGGTCTCCTTCAGTAGATTTCACTTTTGTTTGCTGTGGGATGACTGAATGTGGTGGTGAGTTCAAGGTCAACCTGGGTTACATCATGGGTACGGGAGACCTAGAAAGGGAGAGAGGGAAAGAGTGGGCCGGAACAGTGGCTGTAATCAGGTTTGCTTCTGCATTAACGTTGCAGGATTGTCACAGTGATACCAGCTAGAGGTTCACATCTGCTTCCCCACTGGGCAGAAGATACAGTTGTGGGGCCTCCAATAAGGGGTAGTCAAAGGGCATGACTGGCATCATCTGACAACATCTTAAGAGTCTGCAGAAAGAGAATCAAAGTGAGCACCCATGCACTTTAAATGAAGCTATTTGTGTTGGTCCCTTCAGGACAGGGGGAGGCAAACAGGCAAGCTAGTGATGGATGGTTTCACCTTAGAGATAAGACTGGAGTTCAGAGGGATAGATGGAGTGTCAGAGTTGCAGTCAGAAGCTAGTCTGATACAATGTGCATAGTGTCTTCTCAGAAGAAATGAGAACAACAGGCTGGAGATGAACCTGGCACCTGCTGGAGAAATAATGGTTGTAATCTCATGTTCTGTCTTGTTTCTCCAACTGTGGTACGCTTCTGAGCTGCGAATATGGAGGCTGGAGACTGAAGTCCAACATGGAGTGACATGGGAGAAAGAAACAATAATTATCTATTTATCTATTTGCGTTGAAGTCTCTTATAGCCCAGGCTAGCCTTGAACCCTGGATCCTCATTCTCTGCATCACTATGCCTGACCAATAAGTGACTTAATTTAGAAATACATTTATGTATTTATTATTTGTGTGTGTGCCACAGTGCACATGTGGGCCAGAGGACAATTTATGGAGGTTTGTTCTCTCTCTTCACCATTTGGGTCCTGTGTAACTCGGTGTCCTCACTCACTGGACCATCTCACCAGCCCAAAAATATAATTATCTCATACACACACACACACACACACACACACACACACACACACACACACGCGCGCACACTTGGGAGGTAAAGGTGGATTTCTGTGAGTTCAAGGCCAGCCTGGTCTGCAGAGCGAGTTCCAGGACAGGCTCTAAAACCTGTCTCTAAAAACAACAATAGCAGCAAACAACATCAACAACAACAAAACAATCGGTTATCCCAGCCAGGCAGTGCTGACTAATGCCTTTAATCCCATCAATCCGGAGGCAGAACCAGGTGGATCTCTGAGTTCAAAGTCAGCCTAGTCTACAGAGTAAGTTTCAGAAAAGCCAGAGCTACACAGAGAAACCCTGTTTCAAAAACAAAACAAACCCCAAACTCCCCACCCCAAAATATGTTATTCTTCCCTTAAAAGTGTTGATCCCCACTGCTCTGACTTACTGTACTTACTACAAGCCTCAGCTTTTGTAACCACAGCTACTTATATATCAGTATGTCTGACCTGTGGATGTTCCAGGCTGGGAACAACAAAGGAATAGCACTTGCAGGGTAAGAAAGGACCAATAAAACCAATACTCCCTGAGATTTTCAGTGGGCAGCAATCATAGGGAGTCTCCTTCTCCCCCAGTAGTCTGTGTTTCTCACTGTCAGGCAGCCATGCTACAATTACTCATGGATAAGTTGTCTGTTTGGGTTGCAGAAGAGTAAAGGCATGCTACTTCATAAATGCCCCCGGTTTTCCCAGCCAGGGAATGGCTGTTATCAGAGACGGAAGTTTGAAATCTTCAGCAAACACATGTGGATGCTCACTATTTCACCATTATCACTCTCTCAGAGGCCCTGTTTTCATTGCCCACTTTGTATGCCAGTAAATCACGGGCCCTGGCAGCAAGCTCACCGTATCTGGACACACAGGAGGAAATCTGCTGGAGCCTGGCTGGGCCAGAATGTTCTCAGAGCCTGCTCCGTCAGTGCGCTGAGTCTTTCTCTTGAGTTTAGTGGGGCTGGAAAGATCCATGACTGGGGAGCCTGGATGGAGAACTACAGGATGCGAATGTGATAAAAATCCCAGCCGGCAAGCTGGCGCTGGGAGCTGCTTTGAAGCTGGCCAAGTGGATTATCGGTGGGAGGTTGATGTTTGTGTGTACAAACACACAGGCCCTCACTGCTAATTGTGGTAAATCAGGCGACCAGCCTGGCTCTGGGGCCCCCTGTGGCTGTCACCACAGCAGTTTGGAAACCCTACATCCTCTAGCACCTGCCAAGATCCTAAGAGGCCATTAGGCCAGACTGCATCTTTCGAAGTGCATTTGGTCCTCAACCCTGCAATTAGGTTTTCTAGTTGTGGCTTGCAGAGAAAGAGAGGGGTCAGGGGCAGATTGTATTTGGAAAGAGTGGGCACCAAAAGGCTGACCTCTCTCAGATCCCTGGGAATTGCTGGCCTGCTGGTCTACCCAAATTAGTGAGCTCCAAGTTCAGCTAGAGATCCTCTTGCCTCAAAAAAATAGTGCAGCATGATCAAGGAGGATATCTGATATCAGCCTCTGGCTTCCACAGGCACCTGTATACAATTGCACATTTGTGAACAGGTATGTACACATATGTGAACAAGTTCACTCACTCCTGGCTCTGCCCCTGGCTGTGTGCTTTTGGATCACTTGCTAAATTTTGTGCCTCACAGCGAGAAACTGTGAGGAGACAGACAGAGGTCCCGGCTCCACCCATGGCCCTTGAGGAGACAGATGGAGGTCCCCACTCCACCCATAGCCCTTTGGAGAGTTGTTAGGAAGGGGTTTTTCTATTCCCTGGAACTTGGTCTGCACAGAATCTATGTTCTTAACCTTGACAATGGGTGACGGCCCTCATACCTCCCCAGTGATGGAATTAAAGGTGTATGTACTCCAACCATTCCAGGCCTCTCTTCCTTTCTCTGTAGTGGTCCTTCATACATGAGCCTGTCCTGAGCTTTCTGAACTTTTGTAGCCTGGTTCCACAAGAACACAGACTGAGAGAGCCTCCGGGTCGTGGGGGCCACCTCTAAGCTATGTTGGTTAGCCTCTATTGAAATCACATTTTATCGTCCAGTTATTTGATCCAGCCCAAGGAAATTTTTTGAAGGTTGGGACGGTCAGACTCCTGATGCACCGTGTCATGAAACAAGTGACAGCCCGCGTGAGGCAGAGACTTCCCTGCGTCTCTCTCTGTTTTGGAGACACTGTCTACAGACCCTGGCACGACTTTGCAGCTCTGCCGGGCTCTTTGATACTTTCTGCTTAGTTGTCGTCTCACTGTATTAGCTGCTAGCCTGACGCTGGGACATGCGTCTATTGAAATGGCACCGTTAAGGATCCCCATTGCGGAGAACCTGGCTTAACAGTGGTTTGGCATTTGGCTAATGGCGTTTGTTGTCTTTGTCTTTTGCAGTTCTCCGGGGCTATGGGCACCTCCCACCAGGCCTTCCTGGTCCTCAGCTGTCTCCTCACGGGTATGTAGCCTCACGTGCATCTCTGTCCCCTTAACTCACTGTCCCAGGGAACTTAATGTTTACTCTCTGTGCTCCATGGTTCTCTTCACCTGCACACAGGCAGAATGGGGGTGAGAAGAAGAAACCTACAGTTTTGTGGGGTGATGGGGAACTCCTGGTGCCCTTGCCTGAATGGCACTAACTCCATTTCGCAACAAGTGCTCCCTGTCAGGGCTCTGAGGGTCAGGAATAATTTTGGCAATGAAATGCTTCCTGTACTTGCCCACCACCCTCTTGCTCTCCCTGGGATGGGTTTGCAGCAAAGAAATGATCAGATCAATCAGGGCATGTTCAAATAGAATGAAGACCTCACCAGGCTTGGTGGCTCAGGCCTGTAATCCCAGTTACTTGGGAGGCTGTAGCAGGAAGATCGCAAATTCAAGGCCAGCCAGGGCTACTTAGTGAGACCCTTTCTTTAAAAAGGGAGCTGGGGAAATAGAGCACAGTAGAGCGCTTGCCTGGTGCTTGTTAGATTCCATCTACGTGTTTGTGTGTTACGATATTACTCTAAAGTTAGGCCCCAAGGCAAACCAGAGACCATTAATTAATAATTAAGTCATCTCGAGTCTCCTTTCACACAACAGACAAGGGAAGCTGGGGTGAAACTTGAAGTTTGGAGATGAATTGCAATCCCCTTCTACTGGTTTTAGTCCTTATTTGTGAATGTAAACCCATGCCTTCTGCTTTGGATTTGGGGAATCATTAAGGAGAGAATGCATGCCGGAGGGCCTCAGTGAGGAAAGACGTGTGATTCTTGAGAGAGCCCAGAACTACTCACTCTGTGCTTTGTTCGCTCTATCTCCCTGCCCCTCTTCTCACATCTCCTGCCCATTTTTTTTTTTTTTAACCAAGGAAAACTTCTGCAGGGCATATGCATGATAAAGAACCCATATGTACTTGAGCCCCAGACCGCGCTGGGATATTTTATGGTTACACATAAAAGTGTGAAATATGGAATTGGAATCAGACATCCTTTATCCATTTGAGTGTTTGGAGGGGTGAATCTGGGGGGGGGTTGGTGGGACTGTTGAGGCCTTGGAACACTTGCTACTCTCAGCAGATGCGGTGGCTGTCATAATGGGCTGCTTTTCATGGGCCTCCAGAGGGATGGAGCTTCACGTAGAAATGGTCCTTGTTCATCTGAGCTGCTACTGTGGGCGCTCTCAGTGTTCTGGAGAAGCCCTCCTTTCTGGCTCACCCCATTCAATGCCTGCGTCTTTGTACAGGGCCGAGCCTCGTCTCCTGCCAGCTCTTATTACCCTCCATCCTTCCGAACGAGAATGAGAAGGTTGTGCAGCTGAATTCGTCCTTTTCTCTGAGCTGCTTTGGGGAGAGTGAAGTGAGCTGGCAGCACCCCATGTCTGAAGAAGACGACCCCACCGTGGAAATCAGAACTGAGGAGAACAACAGTGGCCTCTTTGTGACAGTGCTGGAAGTCGTCAACGCCTCAGCGGCCCACACCGGATGGTACACTTGCTATTACAACCACACTCAGACAGAAGAGAGCGAGATTGAAGGCAGGCACATTTACATCTATGTACCAGGTGAGGCGCAGGGCTGTCCCAGACCAAGCCGCTCCCTGTCCTGTCTCTGCTTCACTGTGTTAAGGTCCATAAAGCTTGTAAAATTCATACATGTTTATTGCAGAGAAATTGGAGGATAGAAAACAGTTTTTTCCTTCCTTCATCCTGCCCTCTTTCCCTCCCTCCTTGTCCTCCTCGTCTCTCTCTCCCTCTTTCTCTTTTTGCTCACAAGCCAGAGGCAGACGCTTGCTACCTCACTATACCTGATTTCCTCTCTCACTGAGACCGGAGCTAGGTTGGCAGCCAGCAAACCCAAGCTATCCTCTTGTCTCTACCTTCCGAATTGCTGAAGGTACAGATTTTTATATGAGTGATTAGGATTTGAACTCAGGTCCTCATGCTTGTACAACCAGTGCTCTTACTCACTGAGCCATCTCCTTAGCTCCATGTGTGTCTGTCCGATTTTAGTTTTTGTGACTTTTGCCTTGTAGTTTTGGCTGTCTCAGAACTTGCTCTGTAATCCAGTCTGGCCTCCAACCCACAGCAACTCTTTGGCTTCAGCATCCTGAGTGCTAGAATTAAAGGCATGTGCTACCAAGCTCACCTTGCCCCCCCCCCCCTGTTTTTTTTTTTTGTTTTGTTTTGTTTTGTTTTAAAGATAGACTGGCCTGTGTAGTTCAGTCTGGCCCCAACTTCATCATCCTCTCCCTACCTCCTGAGTCTCAGAGTTCTAAGCACGTGTTACCATACTCAGCTTTTTTTGTTGTTGCTTCTGAGACGAGTTCTTGCTATGTTGCCCTGGATATATTCAAACTTCCAAACTCAGTCAATCCTTTTGCCACAACTTCTCAAGTAGCTGAGACTACCTACTTTATGATCAACAAAATACACAAGATTAAATGCTTATCATTTGCATTTTCAAATCTATGAAAACTCGTGAGAGGCTTGGGGAGATGGTGAAGGTGTTGGGGGCATTCACTAGTCTTGCGGGGACCCAGGTTTGATTCCCAGCACTCACACAATCTGTTACTCCTGGTCCAGGAGATTAGTGCCCTCTCCTGGCCTGCACCAGCACTGCACACATGTGATGTACCTGTATACATCTAGCCAAAACACTCATACACACAAGCAAGCAAATGTTTTTTTTAAAGAAGCAAGATTCTTGGCTAGGGGTTTAACTCAGTGGCAGAGTACTTCCTTATCATGTGGAAAGCTGTAGATCCCACTCAGAGATAAGTACTTATTGACAACATGTCAGAGTTTTATTAATTTTGAAGATAGTCTTTAGCAAGGCATGTCTTTTATTGGTATGGCGCCAAAACCAAAAATCAAACGTAATCATTCTATTTTGGTCAGTGTGAAAAAGCTCTTACAAGTATATCAGGCTCTATGCCTGGTGTAGGAGACAGACCCAACAGGCAGGCCTTGCCTTGGGTATTTACAGTTCACTAGTGTAGTTTTCCAAATAGCCACCCAGTTTCAGTTCTAATACAAATATGCATTTACTTTAGATGAATTGGAAGGAATTCTTTTTGTCTTTGTCATTAACATTTAGGGGAATTTCCATGCTAACGATATGATCTTGTGTCCAGGGACAAACAGATGGAAGTTGTGCAAGGGTTTTCACAAGGGGCAAGGCTAGGGAAGGAGTGGGAGAGTCCTGCATGATCCTGCTTGACTCTGTTGGGTTGCTGGGTACTACCATGCTGGAGGGTGGCCTCTTGCCCATGGACCTCACTTTCCCTCCCTCATTGGTAAGGAGCATGGCTGGGGAGTGTGCTCTTAGGTTATGGAGTCACAGGCCTAGGCTTTAGACAGTTAAGCCTCTGTAGTTGGAGGGATGTACTTTCTCCAGAACCCAGGCTTAGCTGACAGCTTGAGATGTCTACCACCCACCTTGCCTTTGCTGTGAGCCTTTGCCAACCTGTAATTGTCAGTACATGAGTGTGTGGTGATGTTGTCTCCATAGAAACTGCACAATGAAGAACCCTGGTGTTACCTATAGGTTATATGCGTAGTACTTATTGAGAGGGAAGATTAGTTTTGGAAAGGAAAGCAAGGCTGAAGCATTAGGGACATTAGTTGAGCTATCTGAACTTGAAACTAAGGTGCAGCTTTTGTTTGAATCCTTTTTGACAGGGTTCAAGAGTTTGGAACTCTGAACACAAATTACAATGATGAGAATTTTGGTACGTTGTTGTGGAGTGGAAAGAGCTTCGACATTGTAGGCAGGCTGTCATACCCATCCTGCTTTTATTGCATGTTAATGGTGGTTGGGGATCTGAACTCTGATCCTCATGTTTGCATGACAAGCATTGTACCTGCAAAGTCATCTCTCTAGCCATGAAATGTTTTCTCTAACAATGAAAAAATTTGTTGTGAAAAGAGCAGCTATGTATTTATAGTGTCACTTTAATGCCACATATTTATGACGATGATGAAACAAATAATAGCATTAATAATGATAATAAGAGCACATAGGTCATTTCAGTGTTTTTTTTTTGTTTGTTTGTTTGTTTTTTGTTTTTTAAATCCTGGAGGGTTTTCTGCATGCTGTAAATATAATGGACCATGGGCTTGTTAAAAGTGGTCCCTGAAGTTTCAGTGTGCCTAAACTAGTCTGGATTGTTCTTTTTCACTTCCCACCTCCAGTACAAACACCACCCAAGTGGCTCCTGTGTTGTTTTCCTATGGGACCTTCTCCTGGGGAAGGTATAAAGCTGGTGCTTGACACTTCTCCCGCAGGAGTTTAAGTAGAGACTTTGCAAAGGAGGGGGTTTTGAGCTGTGGGGTTACCCGTGCTGGGGATGAAGCCCACGGTCTTCAGGTAGCTAAGTGCATCCTCTGCCCCCCTCCCTGAGTCTCACCCCCATACCACAGCCTGGGCTTTTTAAAATTTATTTCTTGAGAGATTATTTTTGACAGATATCTGTGCTACTTGATGATATCAGGTATAGGCAGTAGGGGTTTCTAAGAACAGTTCATTAGATAAGAATTACAGCTGGACAAGGTAGTAGACACCTAGAATCTAACACCAGAAAAGTTGAGCCAGGAGGACTGATCATGAGTGCAAGGCTAGTAAGGTCACCCTGGGTCATTTAACAAGTTCCAGTCTAGACTGGGAAGTACTGCAAGACCTTATCTCAAACAAAATGGAGCACAACAAAAATGCAACATATAAATATATAAATGAAAAACAAATTTCAAATTTTTGATTTGGCTTCCTAGATGGTATTTGTAATGTTTATTGTTGTTCTTTAGCGGTTATTGTTTGATTTTAAAGTTACTTTCTGCTTGTCAAAATAACTAATGTTGGCGGTGTGACTCTCGGACATATGTGCAGAGGTAGCATTCATACCTAGCAAGAGTCATGCCAGGCTGCGGGTGTAATCCAGTGGCAGAGAACTTGTCTAGCACGTGTGAGCCTCTGAGTGGTATCCTTCGAACCACCAACACAATTAATAATAATAATAATAATACAATAACAGCAATGATAACAATGCCAATGGGATACCTTTTCTTTATAAATGTCTAAAAGTGAAATGAAACCCTAATAGATTCTTCTTTCTCTCCTTAATATCACAGACCCAGACATGGCCTTTGTGCCTTTAGGGATGACGGATTCTTTAGTCATCGTGGAAGAGGATGATTCTGCCATCATACCTTGTCGCACCACAGATCCAGAAACTCAAGTAACCTTGCACAATAATGGTAGGCTGGTGCTGGCCTCTTACGACAGCAGGCAGGGCTTCAACGGGACCTTCAGTGTGGGGCCATACATTTGTGAGGCCACCGTCAAAGGGAGGACGTTCAAGACCGGCGAATTTAACGTTTATGCTTTGAAAGGTACTTCCACCCCTTTGAATGGGAGCGACAGGCAAGAGGCCTTTTAATTTGATTGTAGTAACTGGCAGTGGAGACCTGGCTCTGGTTTAGGAATTTAAGACTGTTCTTTCACTATACAATGTGGCTGACCTCTGTAGCTGTAATAATACAGGCTTAAAAACCATCACAGGCTGAACTTGCTTATACGTGTAAGATTGCATGCTCCATGGAAAATACCGCAAGGAATTCTGTCTTGCATAAGCCTCTTACTATCTGATTCACATTCTTGACTACACAGCCCTAAGAAACAAACATACACCCCAGGGGGTTGGAGGCCTAGATTAATTTCAGTAACTTAAGAATTAAGAGGTTTCAGTTTTGAAGGAAGACTATAGTTAAAGAGGCTAGCTTTCTTCCCTTTGAATGGAGGGGTTAGTTGGACTGGAAAAGTCTATCACACATTGGGGGTTGGAGCGGAAGGTTTTAGGGAGAACTTTCCATAGACACGGGACAGAAGCAAGAAAATGTCACTTGCCTCTTTCTTGTCACAACTTTATTTTGTGCTGGGGGAGGCGCTAAGGATGACTGAGGGGCAGAGCGGAGAAGTAGCAGAACTTTGAAGTGACTGGAAAGAGTAGTCATAGCCAACCTGATTGCCAGGCAACCATAGCTAACCCAAAGGCCCAGGCACATGGTGTTCTGCTTAAAGGAGATCAATTTTTACTATTGTTATTATTTTGTATTTCTTTATTATAACTACACCCCCAAGTTGGATTCAACTAAAAGGCAAGGCTTCCTAGATTTTCCAACTTTTGTCTTGATCATACTAGTTTGTATATGATGTTTTATCATTTTAAATGTACCTGATTCAGCTATAGGTTTACTTTGAGATCTTAACTACACTGGATTTCCTTTGTCTTTTATTTCAGCAACGTCAGAACTGAATCTGGAAATGGAAGCGCGTCAGACTGTGTATAAGTCAGGGGAGACAATTGTGGTGACCTGTGCTGTCTTCAACAATGAGGTGGTTGACCTTCAGTGGACTTACCCTGGAGAAGTGGTGAGTACCCCCAGATATGGAGTGCATGGGCCAACACAGCAGGACTTGAAATGCCCACATGCCAGTGGTGTTTCTCACCAATGGGCACATCCCTGGGCTTCTCCAGGGTTCAGCTTCCCTGACGCATAATGAGCACATTTGACTCCAGGGCCTTTACTTGTTCTCAATTGGGGAGAGTCTGAGATAGACATAAAGGGACCAGGGGGTTCAAAACCCACTAAGACTCCCTTTGAGGAGTCAGAAACAAATGGGGGATATTCTGTGGCTATAACACAGCAATTAAAACATTAGCAAAGCAACAACTGCCTGCATTTTGAATATTTCCTCACTGTGGAGGTAGTCATGTATCTTTGTTGTCTTGACTCATGTGCTTTGGGGTTTGAGTCATCTGATAGTGTTGTTAGGCATGTATGTTATTATGGTCTATAGTCAACAAGTTGTGCAATGGCATACAAGAACTTATTACTTCCTTCGAACTGGAACTTTGTGTGAAGTCTCATTCTGATGTTTACAGTGAGCATGTAAGAGACTTGTGCGAAGCGTATGGAATCAAATGCAGAAATGGTGTTTAATACTGTGGATGGGGGCCTCATAGGGAACAAAATACACACATACGATTCTATAGTCAATTATATGTATCACATACAGTGTACTTTTCTCCTTTCTCGTGAGTTATAAATTTCGGTACCCTGGTCTTTTTGTCACTGGACACCTTTGCTCTGCTGGCCATTCCTCTCCCATGGGTTTGCTGGCTCCACTTGCCTGCTGACCGTTCTTTTACATCCTTGTTCATCATCATTGGTGCTTGTGTAAGGCAGCATGCTCATCACTGCACAGGCGTGGAGGCCAGAGGACTACTTTTTCTGGAGTCCGTTCTCTCCTTCCACCTTTAAATGGGTTCTAGGGGTTGAACATAGGTTTCTAGGCTTGCATGACAAGTACGCTCACCCACTCACTGAGACATCTTGCTGAGTCAAGTTGGGTGTTCTTAAGCTAGATGTAATTGACTCCATGCATTGAGGAACACTCACTGTTTAGTATGTCCACATATTTCTTGCACTATAAGGTGATTTGGTACTTTTTTTTCCTTCATTCTAGATTGTTTTTACTCTTTGAGACATGAAACTTATTTTCATTTATGAGAGACAGATATTTTTAAGTAGAAACACATGATATTTGGCACACAAACACATAAAATGCTTAAACACATTTTTTTCCCCCACAAAAGTACCAAAAGTTTCTTTTTGAAACTTTGTCAGATGTGGGGTGGGGGACACAGGGAACCCTGATTCTCAGACAGAGCAGTATATTTCAGATTTCAGACAGATAAATCCTTTTGAAATTTTCATGCATAAATATTTATAATTAACATGTACTATTCTTTCAACATAGTTTGTTTTATCTACATCCCAAGTGAATAGTATAGACAGTTTACACAGATCATTGACTATCTTTCTGTCATTTATTTTTTTTATTAAAAAATGTTCTGTAATATTGGTGACTGAACCCAGAGTCACACATACTAAGCTGCTGCCCCAATGTTTTTATTTCTTCTTGTATTTTGGTTTTCTGGGGTTTACTCAGTAGTCCAGGCTGGCGTAGAACTTGCTATGTCGCTCAAATTGGCTTCAGCCTCAGGAAAATAGTCCTGCTTCCGCTTCCCACTTGCTGGGATTACAGCTGTAAGCCCCACACCTACCTCTAATATCATTTTAAAGCATGTCTTTTTTTTTTTTTCTTAAGGATCTAGATTTGGGGTTATGTTCACTATTTATTGCCATATGTGAACAATACATACTAATGGATTTCATTATAGCAATTTCATCCATGCATTTGATTATGTCCATCTACCATTAACTTTCCTCTCTTACCACTTCTACTCTAGCTGACTTCCTTCTTCTTTCAAGCTAGTCCCTTTTCCTTTTTCATGCCATTTTACAACTTGTATGTTCCCTAGTTAGCTTAATGAGAGTTGTTTCTAGAAGAGTGGGCAAAGGGCCACTGACAGGAGCCTGGGTCACTTACCAGTGTAGTAAGAGACATTGAAGAAAATGTCTCTCCTAGCAACCACTAACTGCTTCCAAGTCCACTGGGAGGAATGGGGCCTTGTTGGTTTTTATTTCTATTCTTCAGGTTTTATGTTTTAGAGCAGCTTTAGGCTCACACAAAATTGCAAAGTATAGCAATTTCCTCTGTAACCCCTGCTCCCACGTACGCTTGCCCTCCCGATGGCCAAACCTCCCATGCAGTCCACATCACTTAGAGCTGAGTCCAGCTACATCCACAAGTTTGTTTAGGGTTGCTCTGGAAGGGGTTTTTCAAACCTTAGTTTTCTTGTGTGCAGAGAAACAAAGGCGTCACCATGCTGGAGGAGATCAAAGTCCCATCAATCAAATTGGTGTACACTTTGACGGTCCCCAAGGCCACAGTGAAAGACAGTGGAGATTACGAATGTGCTGCCCGCCAGGCCACGAAGGAGGTCAAAGAAATGAAGAAAGTCACCATTTCCGTCCACGGTACCGTACTGTTTTCTTAAATGTCAGTCACTCACGGTACTTGGGATCTGTATGCAGTGATTATTATGTAACGGGAACTCTTGCTTGTGCAGAGAAAGGTTTTATTGAGATCAAACCCACCTTTGGCCAGCTGGAAGCTGTCAACCTGCATCAGGTCAGAGAGTTCGTGGTGGAGGTGCAGGCCTACCCCACTCCCAGGATATCCTGGCTGAAGGACAACTTGACTCTGATAGAGAATCTCACTGAGATCACCACTGATGTGCAGAAGAGCCAGGAAACAAGGTAAGGGAGTCCTTCCCAGGTACGTCTGTCACACGTGTCTTCTTAGAAAGATGGTGTATGTCTGAGCAGCCAGACCACACAGCCTACCAGATGAAAGCTAAGATGTGCTTACAGTCCCATCTTAATCACACTTTCGCCACACGTTAGTGATAACCTGGTAGCCTGGCAATAATACATTGATAAGCATTTAAGGCACAATGGAGAGAAAGGACCAAAAAGTTCTGTCCCCCAGTGAAAGACGGCATACTGGATCTAGCTAAAGAGAAGGAAAGGTGGGGGAATTGAATGTGCTTGGGCTTAATAGGATCCATGATGGGTCATCCTATTTCAACAGACATAGGCACTGATTTCACCTGTGAGGTAATTTACATGTAGGCCTTCCTGTAACAAAATGTCGTCACTTGAGGGTGCATCTGCCCCCAGCCAGGGTTTCACGGGAAATAAGAGTGGGGTCTAATTAAGTTTGAGTCATTTGGATCCTGGCCTTGGGTGACCGGCAGGCACTCTCATCTAAGTAGCGCTGCTTTTCCTTGCTCCTGGTGCTATCTGTCCATCAACCCTGGGTCTCTTGTGTGTCTTGCATGCTAGGCAAGCACTCTACCATTGCGCCTCTCCATTTCTCTTGTAGTTTTGAGTTGTGAGTAGAATCCAGGAGTCAGAGGGCACAGTTTATGTTTGTTTTAGACATGGTCTATAGCCGAAGATGACCTTAAACTCTCAACAATCCTCCTGCCTCACAGCTTTTAGGATTATAGGTGTGAACCACTGCACCATTTAAAGCAGCCATCATTATGCTTCTTGTTGCTGTTATTATTATTACTATTGTCTGTTTTCCTGGGACAGGGTGTTGCTAGGTAGTGATGCCTGACCTCAAACTCATAGTGACCCTCATGCCTCAGCTTTCAAGTGCTGGGAGACATAGGGTTACCCTGGCACAGCTGACATTTCACATGTGTCTGAGCAAGAATTCTAGGCTGTAAGAAAGAGAATTGTCAAGAAGGCAGGCTTGGCAGGGGAGTGGCATTGGAAAGTTGCTTGCTAATGTGATTTGAGAACCCTCCAGCACTTAGTCTTTTCATTCCTGGGTGGGGCCTGGCAGCACAAGGTGAGTGGAGTACCCTGGCTTCATGGAGCTTAAACCCAGTGGCCCCACTGGCTTTCTTGGCTCAACAAGTGTAGGCTATGAATGGCCTGGATCATTTGGCCATCCACAGCTGGGTGTGTGTAGGTGGCCTCTAAGGAAATCCAGTCCTGAAGCCAAATGGTCAGAGAGGGGACACTAGCAAAGCCTGATTTTCTACAGGTCCTGTAGAGTAGTTTGGAGCCCATGAAATGCTTTCCCACTTTAATACCATTTAATGAATTTTCAAAATGAGTGCTCTGTGTGCATAATTATCCTATTTTCTATGTAAGGAAAGGGAGGTGTAGAAAGCCCAATAATTTCTACAATTTTGTTTCATCCAACTGTTTTTGTGTGTTAGGATGTTTGATAATGACAGCCAGATGTGAAAATACTATATTTACACACACACACACACACACACACACACTGACATGGCGTGCAAAACACCTATAAGTCTGAGGGCAATTTTGGGAGTCCATTGTTGCCTTGTGCCTCCTTGAAGCAGGGTCTCTCTTGTTTCTTTCTCTGTGCTGAATATTCCAGGCTAGCTGTCTTGAGAGCTTTGGGGCAATTCTCCTGTGTCCTCCCATCTCACACTGGAGTGCTAGGGTTGTAGATGGACATCTCTGCACCTGACCTTTTATGTGGGTTCTGGGGATTGAATTCACTCCATCAGATTTGAGCAAAAAGCAGCTTTATCAACTGAGGCATCTTAAGTATTTTCATTTTAAAAAGGCTTTGTTTATTTTCATTCATAAATGAGACCTTGTCAGAGTTGGTAGCTCCTGGAGATGTCTTATCTTTAAAATACTTTGTTTTCTATTGTGTCTATGTGTGAGACTTTTCAGTGTGTGGAAGTTAGATTAAGAATTCTAGAAAAGACATTGCCCATTAGCAAGAAATGGAGACTTTTTCCTCCCCAGAAATAAAGTTTCAATCAAAGACTGTAATTGCTTAAACAATTGGTGTTTATTTGGCTACTACTTAGTAAAATAAAATTCTCTTCTTTTAAGATATCAAAGCAAATTAAAGCTGATCCGGGCCAAGGAAGAAGACAGTGGCCATTACACCATCATAGTTCAAAATGACGATGATGTGAAGAGTTACACGTTTGAGCTGTCAACTCTAGGTATGTAAAAGTCATGTAAAGATCACGTTTTCTCAGTGACTGACTGTCCTCCAAAGACAGCTTGGCTTTTGTCTGCATAGCCTTGGAGGAAAAGCAAGACCATAGGGTAGAAGCAGCGAGTAGACACGGCACATGTCAGGGGTCACGTTGTCTCTTCTGCAAATTCATGTCTAGTTTGAGCATTGCTAACCCAAAAGTCTGAAATGCTACGAAATACTGAGGGTCTAAGTGTGTACTGTTTCAAGGCTCCTGCCTCAACCTTCGAGTGCTAGGATTCCAGACATGTGCCTCCGCATGTCACTTAACATCTGAAATCTTTTGAGTATTCACATGATGTTACAAGTGGAAGACTCTGGCCTAACATCTTGTGACAGGTCAGAAAATATTCAGGTATATAAAAATATTGTATAAGATTGCCACCCGGGTATGTGTGCAAGGTGTGTTTGAGGGTATAAATGAATTACATACTTAGGCTGAGTCCTTCCCTAAGACATGTCATTAGGACTCACTTCTAAAAAGGTCTGGATCTAAAGCAATTTTGGAGGAAAAAAAATATTGTTCTGAGGAAAAATTTTAAATTAAAGTATGTATTATTTAGTTTAAATTTGTATTTAGTTTAGTTTTTTAATATTTATTTTAAATATTTATTTAGTTATATTAAGTTGAAATTATTATTTACTTTAAAGTATGTATTATTTAGTTTTTTAAATATTTATTTTAAAATATTTATCTAGTTTTATCTAGTTTAAATTATTATTTACTTTAAAGTATGGAAAAGTAAATTAAAAGTGCATTTTTTCAAGCTTATTATTATTACTTTGTGATGAAATCCCATGTTGTAAAAACAAATCAAGGGGCTAGAGAGATGATTCATAGGCTCAGAGCACTTGCTGTTCTTGCAGAGGACTGAGGTTCAGGTCCCAGCACCCACATGATGGCTCACAGCCACCTCTAACTTCAGTTCCAGGGGGTCCAGTATCCTGTTGTGGCTCCATGGGCCCCAGACATGCATTCAGTGCAAATACCTATGTGCTGGCAAAACACTTGCCTGTCTCTAACTTTTTTCACTAAAAACTGACAAAAGGATCTTTAAAACCCAGTGATGTCCCTCGGATGCATTTGGGTGAAGGCTGCTTGACTCTATGCTTTGGTCAAATCCATTAGTCTAAACCCCAAGTGCAAAGATAACTGGAGCATCCTCCTCACCTTCCAAGCTGAAGGACCACAGGCACTTCTCCCACAACCCAGTCCAGATCAAAACCATCCAGGCACAGAGCCCCCAGACGCTGACTGAAATAGCTATTAACTGAGTGGGTCTGTTTCAGCTGGAGTGTTTCTTTCTGTTTAATACAACTGGTGTCTTGAGGATCATTTCTGAAATTGTGGGAATGTTCCTTGAAGGGATGTCCCTTCATGGCCAGGGACAAGAATGGCACAGTTCTGATTTCTCCCTTCCTCTCACAGTTCCTGCATCCATCCTGGAGCTTGTGGATGACCACCATGGCTCTAGTGGGGGACAGACTGTGAGATGCACAGCTGAAGGCACACCCCTCCCGGACATTGAGTGGATGATCTGCAAGGATATTAAGAAGTATGGAAACCAGATGTTCCCTATTCTTGTGTGGTCAGAATGTTTCTTTCATGACATAAAGGAATTCCTTCCTTTCTTTCTTTCTTTCTTTCTTTCTTTCTTTCTTTCTTTTTTTTTTTTTTGTGTAGTTTTTCAAGGCAGGGTTTCTGTGTAGCTTTGGAGCCTGTCCTGGAACTAGCTCTATGGACCAGGATGGCCTCGAACTCATAGAGATCCACCTGTCTCTGCCTCCCGAGTGCTGGGACTAAAGGCCTGTGCTGCATTTGATTTCTTTGGTTGACCTCTTTTATATTTGTGATTCTTTCTTGGCTCATATTACTCACGAACTGTACCATAGGGTTCTGAAAGTGGATTCCATCTTCCGTTGTGTGTGTGCGCGTGTGCATATGTGTGCAAAGGAGTGTGTGCACATACATGTGCTAGCGCTTGTGCACACATGCACGTAATGCACATATGCACGTGTGTTCTCAAAGGGCTTTTACTTCTCCCTTTTATTCCCCATCATTTTTCTATTTCTCTTTTACAACTGTCTCTAATGTGAAGACAAGAAGGATTTTAAGAACCACTGTCACTCTAGGATTTTAACTGCACCCGCCTATAGTTTTAGCTCAGTCCTGTTATGAGACAAGGCCTCACTATTCAGCCCAGTTTGACATCAAGCTTAAAATTCTCTTGCTTTGTCCCCCCAAGTGTTGGGGTTACAGGTGTGCACTACCACCCCTGGCAGGCTCACACTTCTTATTTGGTCAACTTTGTCTTAGTGGCTACAAGGGCATGCGGACAGAAGTCCAGGCAGTGCCTGTCTGAGTGTTCACAGACACTTGTTCTTTGGAGACCAGAGGAAGGCCTGGATCCCTTGAAGCTAGAGTTGTGAGCTTCCCATTGTGGGTGCTGGGACCTGAACGTGGGTCCTTTACATGAGCAGTATGCCCTCTTTAGTGCTGAGCTGTCTCTCCAGTCCCTCTTAAGTGGGCCGGTGAACTGTGTGTTCACACTTATTCCCATGGCAACCAGCTGTGTTCAGAGTGCTTTCTGCTGCCCCCTCACCCAGGGCTGTGGGGGGGACTCTGGTGCTAGAATCTCTGTCTAATAATCTAATGCAGAAGGCTACTGCAGCCCTAGGGACCCCTTAGAAGCTCTCCCTGGGGCTGGTGATGAGGAGGGAGTGTGTTTTTGAAGGAGAGAGAAATTGAGATTATTAAACATATCTGATGCTATCTTAACAGTTTGCTTGGAGGTTCAAGATTTTAGATTGGTAGTTGTATTTTGTTGACTTTATCTGCCTCCTTCACAAACTTAGTCATCAGTATGAGATTACTCCTCTTGAGCAGGTGCAAATGAATTTTAATGTGAGTGAATATGCATGATAAAATGAGAAAGCTAACCTGCGGCAACCGCCAAATGTGTGCAAAGTCAGAAATGCGGAAGGGTCCCTGGTCTTTGTGAGCTGTGGTAATTAGGCCTCCATTTGTGTCATGTTCTCTCTAGATGCAATAACGACACTTCATGGACAACTTTGGCCAGCAACGTCTCAAATATCATCACAGAGTTCCATCGCCGAGGCAGGAGCACGGTGGAGGGACGAGTGTCCTTTGCCAAAGTGGAAGAGACCATTGCAGTTCGATGCCTGGCAAAGAATGACCTTGGCACTGGGAACCGAGAGCTGAAGCTGGTGGCTCCTAGTGAGTTTCTCAGTAGGCAGGACAACTCCGGGTCACCAGCCAAGCCCTGGCTTCCTCAGGTGGGATGTGGAATCTCAGACAGGGGTCACATAGTAAGGAAGGTCTCAAGATAGGAATTCAGCCCTGTCTGCACTTGAAACACTGGTCTTGCTTTCAGTCCCTTCATTGGCATCCACAGACCCAGCTGCATTCTCAGCGACTGTGGACATTTTTTGGTTGTCAAATATAGTATAGCTACTAAGCCTCTTTGGTTTGATTATTGCCGCTGGAGTGGAAAACAAGGAGGAAGAATCTTTTGTCTCTTGTTCCTTAGAACAGCTGAGTTGGGTTGAAGTCTTCCAAAGAAACAAAGGAAGGACTAGAGCCCAAAGACAGGAACAAAGGACACAATGCCATGTTTCAAATGCACTTTACCATGATGCTTATGAGGTGGCTGTTTCTGCAAACCAAGTCATTCCCAGCCTTCATTGTCTCTAATCAAATTGTTCAAAAGGGGATCCTTGGAGCATCTTTGGAAAAAGTGTTTTGTGCCAGGGGAGAATCACACTTCATTCAGGGGTACAAGCATTTGAGAGATGGTATTGGCCACCCCTAAAGTGAGCCGGGGAGTCTGGACACTTCCCCAACAGCAGTAAGACCTCCCTAGTCAGGCTCAGTCACTTCCTTCCTGCTCTTTGCCCCCGAATAACTGAGGAAATTCTCCACCGTGCCTCTCTTTTGCCCCGCAGCCCTGCGTTCTGAACTCACGGTGGCTGCCGCGGTGCTGGTGCTGTTGGTGATTGTCATCGTCTCTCTCATCGTCCTGGTTGTCATTTGGAAGCAGGTGAGTCTTTGGAATCATCAGAACAAAACAGTTGCCTCTTTCTGTGTTTGGTTCAGAGAACGAGCGTGATAGACTACTGTTATATGTGTGGTGGACAACCACGTTCCATACATACATGTGTGGCAGACGACTGTGTTTGAAACCTGTGTGGTGAACTGTGTTAGAAACCTGTGTGGTGGACAGTGTTAGATACATGTGTGGTAGACCATGTTAGGCACACGTGTGGTGAACTGTATTAGGCACATGTGTGGTGGACAGTGTTAGATACATGTGTGGTGGATAGTGTTAGATACATGTGTGGTGGACCGTGTTAGGCACACATGTGGTGAACTGTGTTAGGCACATGTGTGGTGGACAGTGTTAGATACATGTGTGGTGGACCGTGTTAGGCACACATGTGGTGAACTGTGTTAGGCACATGTGTGGTGGACCGTGTTAGGCACATGTGTGGTGAACCATGTTAGACCTTCCCAGGTCCAGTCACTTTGGTTCTGTGTGAAGCTTGGGTGCCTCCAGACTGCTAATTCACTAGTTATCTGCCCTGGTCATTACAGAAGCCGCGCTATGAAATTCGCTGGAGGGTCATTGAATCTATCAGCCCCGATGGACATGAGTACATTTATGTGGATCCGATGCAGCTGCCTTACGACTCCAGATGGGAATTCCCGAGGGATGGACTGGTACTTGGTAAGTTTCTGTAGGATAACCTCCCAGGATCCCAGGGTTACCCACTCAGCTTTTGCCTGGGGAAGAATCAGGGAGGTGAACTCTGCCTGGTAGGAAAGGCTCACAGAGCTGAGTGTGGTGGCTCACATTCTTCTCCTCAGCACTAGGGAGGCTGAAAAGGAGTACCGAGTTCAAGGCCAGCCTGGGCTACATAGATAGCTTGAGCATAAACTCATTAGGCCCGAGAAGGGGAAGTCAAGGTTGAGAAGTGTCTAGCCTATTTGAGGCCCCAGATTCTATCGCCAGAGCTGAAAAAGGGGTGGAATTAACTGGGCTTAGTCATATACGCCTATATGTAGCTATACCTATAGGTATTGTATACTTATAGGGAGGTGGAGGCAGAAACATCATGAATTCAGTATCATCTGAGGTACATAGGGGAGTTTCGGCAAGCCTGCGGCGCATGATACCCTATATCAAAATACCAAAACGAAAGGAACTCTTAATTGTATCATTGGAATGATTTTCCAAAGATAGAAAATGAAGTGAACTTCTGTGATTAAAAAGGACTAGCTGAGAAGTGAGATAACTCAGTATGCTATAATCTGTATATTTTTCCTTTCTATATATGTAATGTAGGATGTAAAAGTACATGCTGGTGTCGTGGTGCACAACTGTAATCCCAGTGAGGCAGGGGGATTGGGAGTTCAAGGTCATCCTTAGCTACATACAGAGTTCAAAACCAGCCTCAGCTACATGAGATCCTGTCTCAAAAACCCTGAAACAACTCCCTCTTGTCTACACACACACACACACACACACACACACACACACACACACACATCTTAGAGCAAAACATAAAAATCAAGATAGTTTGTCAAACATTTCAATCCTGGATTGAGAACAAAAATATAAAGTCCCGATGAGTTTTGTAATCACATTCTAAAATAAAATAAAAACCAGACCTAGACAAAATGAAGTTAGAGCTACAGGTTATGTCACAATCAAGGGGTTCACCAAATTCAAATGCAGTTTTGCTTATCTGTCTGTCTCATTCCAAAGCACAGCCGAACTCAGATCTCACAGAGTCACTCAAGCTGTCAGTAAGAGAGGCGGCTTCATTGTACTATACTCCTTTATTATAAATATTTCCCACCATGCTTCTCCCCAAAGGGGTGCAGAACTTAGAGAAGTCAAAAGCAATAACCCTGGGGGTGGGGGCAGGCAAAACCCCTGGCGCCCATCACTTTGTCCTTAGCCTCTTGGGCAAGTCCAACTTGTTTGAGGAACAAAACCTTTCCAGGCATGAACGCCAGAGGCATGGACTGGAAAAGAGGGCACGTCTACTCGTGCTGTCTTTTCTGCCTGGGCTGTCCATGGTCAGACTGGCTTCCGGAAAGTTTCCCCCCAACCCCCACCCAGACCATGGTTTCTTTAAGGGTGCAGACAACAGCTTTGGTTTTTTTTTTTTTTTTTTTTGGTCTCCCTACACAAAGAAGGGCTGTGCTGGCACACACAGCCTCTGGTCCAGGGACCTTCTTCCTTTAAAACAAAGGCGACTATTCCAAGTTTTCACTTGTGCGATCCTCAGAATCAGTGGCATTTGGGACACTGAGCATTTCCAGTGGTTAAGGATTTGTTAATGCAAGGGTCGTCCCTGTCTGCACCGGAGAAGCAGAAGGATGGAGAAGCAGGGGGTTTGGGCGGCAGCCATGGAGGCAGCCAAGTGCACAGGAGCCCAGGGCCTGGCGGGAGCCGATGTTCTCACCAGGGATGGCGGAGCTCTCCTCTCTCGTCTGTGTTTTCCTTCCCATTGCAAATGTTATTTGACAAAAGCAATTACACTAATTTCCTTCCCTGTGGGCTCAGTTCTTTTTTGACATGATGACTTGGAGGAATAATTAGGCTTACTCAACACAGAAAAAACACCCACCCAGCTGTACACCCTTGTGTGCTGGCCTCTGCCAGTAGAACGGAGGAGCCTGGGGCTGGCGTTGATGGCTCTGTTTGCCCACAGGTCGGATCTTGGGGTCTGGTGCATTCGGGAAAGTGGTTGAAGGCACAGCCTATGGATTAAGCCGGTCCCAGCCTGTTATGAAGGTGGCAGTGAAGATGCTTAAACGTAAGTCTTCCCAGGGATGCTTTGAACATGCAAATATCAAGTGACTGGGCAGTAAATTTAATATTATGTTGTGATTCTTCAGACTCTATGTCTTATGTGGATTTAGTCTTTGGTTTTCTTCTCAATTAGGTTTCTCTTGCTTTTTTCCCTCATTGCTAAAAATCAGATGTCTCATTTCCAGTGACTTTTTTTTCCATAAAGACTAGGGAATATGGGACTTGGAAATGGCTCAAGGGGTAAAGTGTTTTCTGTTGCAACATGAGGACCTGAGTTCTGGTCCCTCAGCATCCATATAGGAAGCCAGAAGTGGTTGTATGTTGCCATACACCAACACTGCAGAGAGTCAGGAGGAGACAGGTGGATCCTGGAAGCTTACTGGTCAGCTAGGTTAGCCAACCTGCCAAGTGCTCAATTCAGTTTGAGACTCTGTCTCAAAATAAGATGGGAAAGTAGTTGAAGAAGATGTCCTGATATCAACCTCTGACCTCCATGTATATTTGTATACACAAGAGCATACACACACACACACACACACACACACACTCATTAAAGTCTAGACTAAGAACCATCTAGAATTCTTCTTTGAGACCCTCGGTAAGGAAATATCATTGAATCACAGTGTCAGATGTGTTTGTCTGAGAACCAGGAGTTGAACTGCCATCTCCTTTACTTCAACAGCCACAGCGAGATCCAGCGAAAAGCAAGCTCTCATGTCTGAGCTGAAGATAATGACCCACTTGGGACCACACTTGAACATCGTGAACTTGCTGGGAGCCTGCACCAAGTCAGGTAGGCTCTCTGACCTGGAGCGAGCGTGTGCTGGGAACACTTAGGTTGTTCTCCTCTGCACCAAACATGCCTCATGAGTATAAAGTTCATAAATGGAACCCACTGGTTGCCTTGACTCTTTGAAAGTTCATTGGTTCTGAGCGTATGGCTTCTTTTTGTTTCCCATTTTTATACCTGACTGCATTTGGTTCCCACAGGCCCCATTTACATCATCACTGAGTACTGCTTCTATGGCGATTTGGTCAACTATTTGCATAAGAATAGAGATAGCTTCATGAGCCGTCACCCAGAGAAGCCAAAGAAAGAGCTGGACATCTTTGGATTGAATCCTGCAGACGACAGTACAAGGAGGTAAGTATGAAGGGAGCCCGCTGTGTCCTTGCCTTAGTATCATTAATGGCAAAAAGCCTGTTCTAACAGTTCCAGGCCTGTGGCTTCTTGGCTAACACCAGAGGCCATAAGGCTTGGAGTCTACCTAGCCATCCATGTCAGTGTGGATGGATACATAGCTGCAGGTGTTCCAGACTAGGTCATTATATGGGAAGGCTGTACTGATAGATTTGAGTAACAGTGGGGCTGGGATCCTCCTGAAAACATTTCTCTACTTTGTATGTGATTCCTTAGGACACATAAATGCAGCTCTGGCCAGGGAAATCTAGATTTGTGCCTTGCAAGGAGCTGTTGGTTCTTGCTGAACTTGGGCCAATGATGCTCACTTGTCTCTACTGCTAAAACTTCCAAGTCTGTTAAGACTATGTATGTGAGGTTCTGTAGGATCAGAAAGTCCAAGGATCTCCCTTACTTAATGGGCCACAAATGGTTGCTCAGTTTATCGAGTTGCAGGAATTTTGTCTGTCTGAGCCACATGGCCACGTGGCTACTTAACTGACAGAGGATAATGGTGAATTATCCTTACTGTCATGAACTTTTCAACCCTTCAATGTACCAGACCCAGAGCATTTTGTGTGTTTTGGGGGATATGGACCTCGACTTCACTGAGGCTCTTGGGGATGTCTCTGCTACTTACACTGGGGACAGAGAAGTAAAACATGAAGAATCATGGCAGCTACCATTTGCGAAGCCCAGCTTACCCTGTAGTGTTTCCCTTCCATGTAGACAGTATTGATTTTGCAGACTTTAGAGAATTGCTTCCTCCCAGATGGGCATTTTCCTTCCACATCATCAAAATCATCCTTCCTTCTCAGTGCATCTGGGATTGAGATGACCCATGCATTTGTGACTGATTAATATTCATCTGTCTGCCTGGACTCCCCCTCTCCCCATGCACAGCGTGCACTGCACATGGGGATTATATATGCTCATCCCTGAGACCCTGACACCTCCCTCAATTAATGGCACTCTGTAGGTACCCACATTAGCATGCCATCTACTAACTGACCAAATTAGAGGCCACTTGGGGTGAAATGTTCTTGTCTTTTTTTTCAGTTATGTGATTTTATCTTTTGAAAACAATGGTGACTACATGGACATGAAGCAAGCTGATACCACACAGTATGTCCCCATGCTCGAAAGGAAAGAAGTCTCTAAATACTCTGACATCCAGAGATCGCTGTATGATCGGCCGGCCTCCTATAAGAAGAAATCTATGCTAGGTAAAAGTGCCCGTGCTCATTCTGGCGAATGTGATCTGTCTGTGGTTTGATGTGACACTCAGAGGAAGGGTAGCTGGGATGAGGGGCTACACCTGTCAGACTGTGTGATCCTTAAGAGCAGGCTGTTCAGCTGGGACAGATGTCTTTTGTAGATCTGTGGTGTGTGAGTGAGAAGAATAGCGACGGGGTTGGTGATGTAGCTCTAGTGTGTACACAGTTCATTCTCCAGCACTGGGAAAAAAAAAGAGTATATAGTATTATAAAAATAAAAATCAAAGACAGATATGTAATTAATTTCTCAAACTGAAATGTAGTTGCTTTAAATAAATAATTCATTGTGCTATAATGATCTTTTCTTGTTAACATGTCTTTTGTTAAAAAAATGGAAGTGGTGATAATTGGTGTTTCCCCCCCCCCACTCCCATGGCCAAACTGAAAGCTGGCAATCTTACATAGTTTCCTTATGTTCTCCACCCCCCCCCCCCATGTGCGATAGTCCTTGTTTTTAACTTTCCTAACATACAATTTGTGATGGTAACCAGAGAGTTGTGAGTTTGAGGTTAGATTTTTCTGACGTTTCTGTTGGCTTTTGTTTGGCCTTTCTGCTTTGGAAACAGAAAGCGTATGTGGTGGGGATGAATTCATGTGTCATTTGTCAACTCCAGGGTGCCACATGGTGATGCCATGCCAGATGGACCACCTCATGCCCGCTCTGGGGTGGCCCCTCCAGGGCTCTCGCTTAACCACACACTCGAAGTGAGCAGTGTCTAGATAAGCCTGACCTTTTGTGATCCCGCTTTTGGGGGTTCCTGCTGCTCATGAGCAGCTGCAGAACTGTTCAGCCGCTGTGGAGATGGTTTTAAAATAAAAACATCTCTAATGAGCTCTGAATGCTTTGAGGGTTCTTAGGCTGAAGGTACATTCCATGATAAAAAAAAAAAAAAATATGTGCTTGTTTTGTAAGAACCAATATGCAATAGTATTTTGCATATCTGCAGTTCCATTCACTTCATATTGACAAAAGGGTGAACTTCCAAACACGTCTTAAAGTTTACCCAATGAGCACTATTGGAAGCAGAGCTTTCTTTCCACTCCCATATGGTTAAAAATAGTTTACATTGCTTCCTGGGCAGAGCTGGTGAGCCTGAGTCATTCTCGGCCTGGGTCCTGCTGGCAGGCAGACCATAGTTTTCTGGCCTTCCCGTTGCTGGCTGGAAAAAATATGAATGGCTGAAGCTGCTCATCACTGGCCCGAAAATCATTGAGAAGGACTGCAAACTGTTGGCCTAGATTGCCTTCCTGGAAAACTCTGGTGCCCTTCCAGATGGGATAAATGGGGGAAAGTGGACAGGTTACAAGGGGAGGTCAGTGCCTGGCCATGGGCACTGTCCTTGAAGACAGCCGCCTGGTCTGTTTGGTTGGTTGATTTGACTGGCAAAATATACACAAAGTAAAAAGGGCATGAATCAAACCTCAGGTTTGCCACAGATGATTTCAGTGTGTGTGCCGTCTACAAGATGGCTGAGGTGATGGTGACTAGGGGGAAGATGAACTCCAAGGGCAAATGGAAGTCTGTATGTGAGAATCCATGGAGGAGGTTGACTTGACTAATCATTATGCATGTGACTATCTGCCCCCCAGGTGTGCATTTGTGCACACAGGCTGGGTGTCTCTTTTCTGAAATGCTTGGGACTGAATGTGTTTTGAATTTTTTTTTCAGATTTTGGAATATTTGCATATACATAATGAGATATCTTAGGGGTTGGGAGCCAAATCTAAATAGAAATTCCTATCTGTTTCATACACACCTCAGACACATAGCTGACAGTAATTTTATACAATATTTTTTTTTAGTGTGCTTGTGTTTTGACTATGATCTGTCATATGAAGTCTGGCATGGGAATTTCTACTTTTGCCATCACACTGGTGCTAAATAAGTTTTGTGTGTTTGAAGCATTTTAGATTCAGGATTTTGGGTCAGGAATGCTCAACCTGTATATATTTCTTTTGGAAGGAAGAGCTATTATTTCTTCTTTCTATTTTTATAGTGCTGGAGGTTGAAATGCATGCTGGGCAAATTCCCTGCCACTGAGCCACACCCATAGCCTCCTTTGCATAGTTTCTGTATCCTGTGAAGTCTAGAAACTATGGGAAAATGCTTTTGGAGGGGGTCTTTGGACAAACTCCTGCAAGCTGCCAAACCGGGGGGGTGTGTCAGAGTCCTGGGGGTCCCATGTTTATAGCCAACACCAACACATTTGATTCCTTTCCCACAGACTCAGGAGACAAAAGCCTCCTTTCCAATGATGACTCCGAGGGTCTAACTTTGCTGGATTTATTGAGTTTCACCTATCAAGTTGCCCGAGGAATGGAATTTTTGGCTTCCAAAAATGTAAGTCCAAGGCACAGAGACCTCTCCAGACCCAGCCACAGATTCAGAGGGAGGGGACATGGAAAGAAGTGCTGGGAGAAAGATCTTAGAGTAGCAAGGAAACTGCCTTCTCAGTTTACCTGCCTCTCCCTGCCTTCCCCAAACTGGCTGCATGTCTCCCTCCCTCCCTCCGGTACCCTTCATTCCTCAGGAGGAGTCAGAATTGGGAGAGAGGGCGAGTTCTTCCTGCCAAAGCACCCTTCAAATGCTACCATGGAGTGGCCTGTCTTGTAGAAGCGCTGCTACCTGGACTCAGCTGGAGCTGTTCTGAAGTGGTCTCTTTCTTTCCAATGTAGTGCGTCCACCGGGACCTGGCTGCCCGAAATGTCCTTCTAGCACAAGGGAAGATTGTGAAGATTTGTGACTTTGGCCTGGCCAGAGACATCATGCATGATTCCAACTACGTGTCAAAAGGCAGCGTACGTTCCCTCTACCCTTACTGTTTGACCCCATGCCCTTTAATTTCTGAAGTTGTCTTATTTCTTAGTTCACGAGTCATAGTATTGAAATAGGTTCACAAGGTTCATTAGCTGGCTCCAGAGGTCTCAGTAGGGAAACCTTAGGCTTAATGAATACCCTGGTATCAGCTCCACGGGATAGCAGAGCTGCTGTTTGGTCAAGTTTATCGTCTATCTCATACCTTAATTTCTCAGTAGCATCATCCATTTCCTAAATTGCTACCAGGGAATAATTTTAGGTAATTCCTATAAAGTGCTATAGACAGTACTTGACATGGAGAAGCACCCAGCAGGGGCTGGAGAGATTGCTCAATGGTTAAGAAGAGCACTTGCTGTTCCTCCTGAGGTTCTGGGTTCAGTTCCTAGCCCTCACATGACAGCTCACAACTGCCTGTGATAGCTACAGGTCTTGGGATCTGATGCCCCCCCCCACTGCTTTTTTGACTCCCATGTACTCTAGGCATGCATGTGGTATACAGACATTGAAGGCAAAACACCCATACATGTAAAATTAAAAATGAACAATTAGATACACCCAGTGTTAACTCCTAATAAGTCAAGTATGCATATGAACATGCAAGCATGCATTTCCAGGGAGATCTCTAGTGCTGAAGTTCTTATCAGCTTTCCAAGAGGCAAGTTTAAGCTTTAGATTAAGATTGCTGGAGTTAATAGGAGAGTTCAGTTTCCTTAAAGATAGTTTCATTATCTACATGACCCACCCTCTCCATCTCTTCAACCTGTAAGCACATGAGTAGTTTAGGACACATCTGACACCTGGAGGTATGATTATGTGTCACTCTGTTCCACTGGTGTAAGACAGATCACAGGCTAAATCATCTGCTTAGGCAGGACAGTGGCCTCTCTCTGTCCATGTCTGTGTCTCAGACTCATGACTCATGCTCATGACCGTAGCTGTGGCTCTTCCGAGGTGCCTTGAACAAGTTGCAGAACTTGGGTGGAAATGATTTCTCACCTAAGGTTATGAACGGCTGCTGCTGTTTTCTTAGTATTCTGGGAGGGGGAAGAGCTGAGGGATGCTAGCCTGAAGAATGCTTCGTCTAGACTTACTATTTCAGCTGAAGTTTGGACCAGCTTTGCAAAAGAGACAATTCTCAGTGTCTTGTCTTTTGATGGTGGAAAATAACCACTTACTTCTTAGAGTTTGGAAGTTGTCATTTATATACAGGTAGCTATCTGGTTTTAGTTTTGTTCTTAGGGTTACCCGAAAACAGGGGGACTGGAGCCATGGATCAAAGGTCACAGTATTGGTAAATTGAAAGTTGAATGTTTTTAGTATATTATTCCTTCAGAAGAGATAAGAAGGGGCATTGACCATTCTTTGTTCATTATTATTGTTAAGAATCTACACAATAGGCTAGAGAGATAGCAGTTAGTGAAGTGCCTGCTGTAAAAGCATTGGCATCTGAGTTTGTTCTCCAGAATTTATGTAAAAAGCCAGACTTAAGGGCTGGTGCTGTTAATCCCAGTGCTGGGGAGGTGGAAATAGATCCCTGAAGCTCCTTGGCTAGGTAGCCTAGCTGAATTGGTGAGTCCCCAGGCCAGTGAGAGGTTTTTCTCACAGAGAAAACAAACAAACAAACAAATCATAGGTGGTCTATTATTCTGAAGAACAGGAGGCCTTTGGCCTCCACACGCATGTACACACACACACACACACACACACAGGCGCGCACACTCACGCACGCATGCATGCACCATCATACATGTGAACATACATACATATATATGTACATGCACAACATACCTAGCTGCCAGTGAATAGTAAACACATGAGCGACATGATGCAGGCAAGAACTTTAATGCATTATTCACAACTCAGGGAAAAGCCCTTTGCATTTCCACTTCTTCAGACATCGGAGCATAGCCTATGGGTTAATTTCTTCTCTCCTTCTCTACAGACTTTCCTACCTGTGAAATGGATGGCTCCAGAGAGCATCTTTGACAACCTCTATACCACGCTGAGTGATGTCTGGTCTTACGGCATTCTGCTCTGGGAAATCTTTTCCCTTGGTATGGGCTTAACTGTTCTGCTAGTTGGGCTTATCCTGAAGGGTAATGTGTCTGTCTCAGGTCCAGGATGACACACGCAGTGTCAACTATTCACACTGCAGTTGTTTCATTCCACAAGTCTGCCTTTATCATGTCTGATGTAGGCTGAGTGGACCCAGAGGAGTCTTTGGGGGATGTTTCCTCAACCCTGGTCACTGTCCCTTTTTCTCTCCTGGGTTGTGTTAGAGTGATTTGCTCCCATGGAAAGGGCTTCTGATGACATCCGCCTTTTCATTTTGGACTCCAGGCTAGATAGTTCACTGATAGCTTCCTTTCCTTTCCTTGATGATGAACAAAGCCCAGGCAAAAGGTGATGTGGCAAGGAAAGGGGTGTAGCTCCCCATCTTGAGGAGATAAACCTCCTTAACATTTGATCACTGGTCACCATGGCCTGGACACAGGTGCCTGCTGCCAGGGGAAGGTTGTAAGTGAATGATGAGATATGACTGTGACCTTTAGGGACATATGGGCTACACAGCTAGAGGTAAACCCTATAAGCTGTAAAGTGGGTTCCTAGGAAGGGAAAAAAAAAAGGGGGTCTTGGAGTAAAAGCGTGCCTGTGTGCTCAGGGCACTACACTGGACCTGATATCCAGTCCTGAAACCTGGCACTCCCTTAAAACAGTGGATCATTGACATTTCAGGTCCTGGCTTTGAATCTGGCTGTAATTATCTGAACATTTGTGATGAAAATGGTATTCTTACGCTGGGTGTGGTGGGGCACGCCTTTAACCCCAGCACTGTCTCTTTTTGACTCTTAGGTGGCACACCCTACCCTGGCATGATGGTTGATTCCACTTTCTACAATAAGATCAAGAGCGGGTACCGGATGGCCAAACCTGACCATGCCACCAGTGAAGTGTAAGCTCCCTCCCCACCCGGGGTCTGTGGGGTGGCCGACATCTACACGCGCGGCCACACTCACTTAATGTTCTGCCTTTGCAGCTATGAGATCATGGTGCAGTGCTGGGACAGTGAGCCTGAGAAGAGACCCTCCTTCTACCACCTGACTGAGATAGTGGAGAATCTGCTGCCTGGACAATATAAGAAGGTCAGTTTGAGCCCATGGCAGTGGGTGGGAGGGCGTGGGCAAGGAGGAGAGAAGAGTTGGCAGTTATACCAGCAAGCAGTGCTGTTCAGCGCTGATCGAAGGGAACACTTCAAAGGGAGACACAGATTGTGTGATTCCGTGACCGTGGCTCTACAGGGTAGAGTGCTCTACAGGACCCGGGTAGCAATGATGAATGAAGACACCCCCTCCCTTCGCATAGGGCTCCCTTTCATCTTACATGCTCGGCACCTGTAGGCACTTCATTCTCCAGACATTTGAGTATCTGAAGCTGCAGCGCAGTTAGAACTCTCAGGACATCTGAGGCCATTAAATTGCTCATTTGGATGTCCTTAAATTCATTCGAAACTGGCTTTTACCAGCTGACTGGAGGGGACAATCCCAGCTGTTATCTGTGACTCCAGCTGGTTTTCTGAAGCACAAAAAGCATTGTTCAAAGGAACAAATGTAATTTCATGGACCCACGCAGGAGCTGCAAATGAATGGAGCGATTTTGTGCTGAGGCCTTGAGAAGGGAAGCCAGGCACTCGAGTGTGATGAATTACATCTCAGAGTAGGCCCTGCAGACTGACCCGTTTCTCTTTCTTCTTGAGAGGCAACATCAGTAGTTTGCCCTGGAGCTGAAAGTTCAGTATGTCAGTCTTGATTGCTTTAGCACATGTTGCGCCTCTGTCAGTGATTCTGGGAGCAGGTAGGAATAATTTACCCAGGCCAGAGGAAGATTCTATGTTGTTGGGAAGAGGAGGGGTTTTCCATTTCTGTCTTTTGTGGCTGGGCCATGCTATACATTGATGGCAAGACTCCCTGTGCCAGAAGGGTATAACTAGGTCATATGGTAATTCTGCTGTTAGGTTTTAGTTTGTTTGCTTTTTGTTTTTTGAGACAGGGTCTCTCTGTGTAGCTCTGGCTATCTTGGAAGTCACTATGTAGGCCAGTCTGGTCTCAAACTCACTTCTGCCTCCAGAATCCTGTGAGTCACCATGTCCAACTTTCCTTTAGTGTTTTTTGTTTATTTGTGTGGTTGGTTGGTTTTTGTTTTGTTTTGTTTGTTTTTTGAGACAGGGTTTCTCTGTGTAGCCCTGACTGTTCTGGAACTCACTCTGTAGACCAAGCTAGCCTGGAACTCAGAGAGCCACCTGCCTTTGCCTCCTTAGTGCTCGGATTAAAGGCATGCACCACCACATCCCTGCTTTGTTTGTTTTTTTGAGGACTCTGACCTCCATACTGACTTCCATCAATACAACATGTTAGTATTTGTTTCCATTTGCTTTCATGTTGATAACCATTCTGACTGGGTTAAATGGCTTTACTATTCTCCTATGGCTAAGGATATTAAATACTTTTCCAAGTATCTATTGGCTATTTGTATTATTCTCTTGAAAGCTAAATATTCAGTTTATTAATCCATTCATTAGATGATTTTGAGGAATTTAACTTTTGCAGTTCTTTATATATCTGATATACTAATCCATTGATTGATGTGTGTTTGGCAGAGCTTTCCCCCATTCTTTAGGCTTTCTCTTCATTTTTGTGACTTTTTTTTCTTCACTTATTCCTTCCTTTCTTTCTTCCTTCATTTTATTTATTTGTTTGTTTTTGAGACAGGGTTTCTCTTTGTATCTCTGGCTGACAGGGAATTTGCTAGGTAGAACTCTCAGAAATCCTCCTTCCTCTGCCTCCCTAGCACTGGGATTAAAGAAAGGCATGAGCCATTGCCCCTGTCTGTTTATCTATTGTTTTAGACAATCTCACTGTGCGGGCCTGGTTGGCCTGAAACTCTTTAAGTAGATCTGCTTGCCTCTGCTTCCTGAGTTCTGAGGTTAAATGCGTGTGTCATGCCACACCGAGCCTTATACAAAAGCTTTTACATTTCATTTAATCCCATGTGTTGTATGCGTGTGCGCACACGCCTGAAAGTATGAGACAGGGCTGGCTTGGAACTCACTATGTAGACCAGGCTGGACTTGAACTCATGAGTATCCTGCTTTTGTTTGAGTGCTGGGGTTAAAGGTGTGTGCCACAGGCCCATTTGTCAGTTCTTAATCTTGTGCTTCTGGAGTCTGGCTCAGAAAGTTCTTGTCCATGTCTATATCTTGAAGGGTTTTATTGTAGCGATTTCAAAATTTCAAGTCTTACATTCAGGTCTTTGATTCATTTTGAACTCAGTGCTGTGAGAAGTGTGTCTAGTTCCACATTCTTCTAATTTCACAATTGTTAAACAGGCTGGCTTTTCTCCAAGGTACGTTTTTACCACCTTTGTCAAATAGTAGGTGGCTATAGCGGTGTGTGTGTTTACTTCTGAATCCTCTATTCTCTTCTGTTGGCCATATGCCTGTTTTGTGCCGGTCTCATGCTGTAATCTATAGCAGTAATCTATAGTTTAAAACAGCAATGCTGGAGGGATCATAATACATGCCTTTAAATTATACTACAAAGCTATAGTGAAAAACAAACAAACAAAAAATCATGACATTTTCAGGAAAATGTTTGGAATTGGAAGTCATTACACTAAGTGCAATAAGCCAGGCTCAGAAAGACAAGTACAATGGTTTTTTTATATGTAGAAATTAATTTAAAAATTATGTGTATGTGTGTATAATATAACATGCACATTTACACATGTAAATATTCACACATGCATTTATTTATATAAATATTTTATTTAAAATTTCTGCCTACATATATGTGTATATACCTGATTATCTATATGTATTATACGTGTGTATAGGTGTCTAGGGAGGCCAGAAGAGGGTATGGAAATCCCTGGAGCTGGAATTGTAGGAAGTGTTGTAAGCCATCTGATGTGGGTGCTGGGAATTGAACTTGGGTCCTCTGCAAGAGTAACATGCTCTTAAACACTGAGCCATCTCTCCAGCCTCTACATATATAATTAGAGCATGTGTGTGTGCTTATGCACGGTTGCTTGTATGTAAGTCAGGAAACAAGAAAGGAGATCATGAGAATGGAGGATCTTTGCTGGAGGGGATAGAAAGTAATGATACATACATGATATAAAAGCAGAAAGACCTATTTGGGGGAAGGAAGAGTATTAGCCAGAGAGAAACAGCAGATATGTAAACCTATTGTTATAACAACAACAACAACAACAACAAAAGACCCCTCTTATCCCCCACAAAGGGAAAATAGGATTTTTCACATCAGAAGTCAGACTTCCCCAGCACGGAGGGATCAGGAGGATGCTGGGAAGGATGCTTCCAGCCGTAGCCCTCTGCTCTCTACATGCCCAGTGTGAGCCTCGGAGTGACTCGGTGACAGGTCCCCAGACTCCATGTTTGTACATGTTTGTCTTGAGCCGGAGTGGCAGGCACCCTGTTCCAATAACAGACCTCTTTGTGTCTGAAGTCTTACCAGGAGTCCTGAGCCACTGGCTGTCCCTCTTTCATGTCTTACATTTCTGGTGATGGTTAACACATGACACCCCGCCCCCAGTTATCCTTGTAGGAACACACACATGTGAGCCATACATTCTAAATGTCTATATTCACTTTACAGTTTGTCAGTAACACTTGATTAAATGCATTACATGCATCCTTTCAGAGTTATGAAAAGATTCACCTGGACTTCCTGAAGAGTGACCATCCGGCTGTGGCACGCATGCGCGTGGACTCTGACAATTCGTACATTGGTGTCACTTACAAAAATGAGAATGACAAGCTGAAGGACTGGGAAGGTGGCCTGGATGAACAGAGACTGAGTGCAGACAGCGGCTACATCATCCCCCTGCCAGACATTGACCCTGTTCCAGAGGAGGAAGACCTGGGCAAGAGGAACAGACACAGGTAGCTGGGGGTATCTGCTCACCTTCCCCTGTGCTAGCCTGGATGGGAGGGCTCATTTGAGACCAAAGCTGGCAGGGATGTGGTGGACTGCGCTCAGGCAACAAGGTGCAGAGTTCCAGGGTGTCTTTTCACCCCCAAGTGAGTGCGTCTCTGGCCAATTTCTGATCTGAGTCCTTAGATCACTGTGGCACCAAAGCTGTGATGACTGGTGATAGCCTCTCTCTCCTCTGAGGTCTTAAACGGTCATGGAGCTGAGGACATCGTTGATAGAGGCGGGGTTGGGATACTGCATCAATAGTCCTTAGCTCTGCGTACAGTTCGGAATAACGAGAGGAGGATCTGCAAACTACCAACTCACAGGCCTCACCCTGCCTGCCTGTCCCCCCTTCCTCTGGTGGTCTGCCTTCACCGTCTCTTTGTGTGAAGCACAGGGCAGCTACTTCACAATGGGGAAGAAGCCATGGTTTTAGCCACCAGATTTTGGTGGATAGTGATAAAAGGCAGAATACAAATTGTCTCAACAGGCATATTGTTAAGCATTATTGCATGCCATTTTTAGCACTGTTTAGTTTTATTTATGTTCCAGGGAAATCTCTTAAAATTTATTACATATATTTTGGTTTTTGAGATTATAATTGTGTATGTGTAGATATATTCACCTAAGTATATAAATACAGCCTGCTCAGCCTGTATAATGCTCCTCCTTGGGGAAGACCGTTTCTCTGATCTCAACATTCCTTAGGTGCCTCTAACCTAGAGCTGAGGCCGCTTGACTTTCCCCATTACACATTAACATGTCTATTAGTGTTGTTCTTATTCAGGTCTTGTTTTAGGCAGCCATGTTGGTGAGGCTTCTGGCATGTCATTTTATATGTGTAAAAAGAACACCTTTTCTCTTCTGTCTTCAGTCTCAGAGGGGCTGGGTGAGTGAGGCGAGAGAAGAGCATGGCAAGAGAGTGAGGGAGATGTGGTACTCTAGCCTCATGCTCTGGAGGTTCCAGAGACAGCCAGCAGCTGGTGTGACTGAACCTCACAGCTGACTTCGTCCCTTTGTTTTTCTTTCCCAATGCCTTTTGATAGGCTGTTGTTTACTCTCTCCCTGATAGGATGTGTAGGGAAAGTAGAAACTGTTATGTCTCTTTAGCAGCTTCCACAAAACACCTGTGGCAGGAAAGAAGGCAAGTTGAGTTATAAAGATGGCTGTGTCTTGCCTTTGTTTTGGTTCTGTGCAGCAATGGGTAATCAGTGGCTGCCTGGCCCGAAGGCAAACTTGCCATGTTTGGCTGCATGTGTTTCAATTGGAAAGGACCTTGTACAAAGAGTCCCTTTGTCTCGGGCAGTCACCCTGGAAATACAGTCTGTGTGGTGCATAAGTTCTGTTCCTGACCTTAGCCTTTGCTTTCCAACCCCACCAGCTCGCAGACCTCAGAAGAGAGTGCCATCGAGACAGGTTCCAGTAGTTCCACCTTCATCAAGAGAGAGGACGAGACCATTGAGGACATCGACATGATGGATGACATTGGTATAGACTCCTCAGACCTGGTGGAGGACAGCTTCCTGTAACTGGCAGGTTTGGGGATTATCTTCCATTCCTGGGGCCTCCTTCGGATCCCTTTGAGAAAACCACTTCATTGCAATGCAGAGGTTGAAAAGAGGACTTGGGTGATGTGGAAAGAGAAGCTCCCTGCCACGGGCCTCAGGGAGCCTCTATGAAAGAATGGGATACTTGGATTGGACTTTGTCCGAGTTGCCCCTTGCAATGCGTCAGAAGCATCTCAGCGGTGTGTGAAGTTTGGAAATGAATGGACAAGAGAATAACAGGCCACAGAAAGCAAGCTTTGTGTTTCCAGGGCGTTGGTGAGATTCCCACACTCGCAATTTGTGCTGCAACACAGCTTCAGCATTGTAATTATGTAAATAACTCTAACCAAGGATGTGTTTAGATTTGTGTTAACTCTCCTCTCTGGACTTCTGAAGAGACCACTCAATCCATCCATGTACTTCCCTCTTGGAATCCAGTACCAGCTGCTGTTGAATTTTCTCATGAAGTACATGCAAAACCACTTTGAACCTTGAAAGGTACTGGGGCCATCCTGTTTTACTGTCTTATTAGTGTCAAAGAGGCAAAAGATGATAACTAACCAACCTTGAGTAACAGATTTGGGTCTTTTAGGAGCCCAAGATCTCTGTATATTGTAATGAATACTTATAATACTACTACTGTTAACAGTAATGCTAAATATGTAATCCTTAACACAACTTCCCAACAGAGAAAGCACAATTAGAACAAAAACCCTTACTAAGTAGGTGACAAGTTTGGCAGTTTTTGACATTTATATTAAGTAACATGTTTCTCAGTAAAATATAATAGCTTTAGTGGATTAAAGTTAGCAAACACTAGAGAGCAGAGTATAAGTAGTATCGTCCAGAACTTTTTGATGCTGTGTATTAAGTAGTGTTCTCCCTAATCCAAGGCACTAAAAGCAGTTAATCACCTCTGAAGTAATGGGATTAGAAACAAACAAAGTAGAACCCCCGTGTCCTGGATGTTCTCAGTATAAAGGCTTAAGCCTGGGCCCAATGTGACTTCTCATGCTGTGACCTTGTGGAAATGAACAGTCTACAAAAGGACTCAGATGGGCAGAAGTTTCTTTCATGGCCAGACATGACTTTGATGGATCCCACCCATCCCTACTTTTTGAATCTGTGACCTTTAAGGATGCTTCAACATCAGCACCACACTTTCCTCTCTTGTCTTAAAGAGACAGAGCTGCATATCCCAAAACCACAATGGTGCTGTTGAATGAAGGTTGTATGGACATTAGCTTGGCTCCCACTGTTAACTGCAACTTCAGTCACTGGCCCTGGGTCTTTCCCCCAGAGATTTGGAATCACTAGGTCTGAGGAGAGCAGGAACCTATCTATATTTTAGTAAACTCTTTGGTGCTTTTGGTCAACCAGTGTTGAGAAAACACTGGCTTGAGTTACAGAGGGTTGCTGTGGGTGGGGTAATTTTGAAATTTGGAATTGGGTAGAAGTCAACCGTGCAGGAAGGCTACTTAGCAGGAAGGCTACTATTTAAGTTCTTGGCTTCATGACAATAACATCCGATTCCTAGTCTTAATTTAAGTTTGCAGGCTCAGCTGAGCAAAATCTTGGTTTGGGCACATCTTCCAGTTCTAGACAATGTGGGTACCACTTCCCACTGGGTGGGGAACCTGAGCTTGTCCACCTCCAAGAATGTCCACAGATTAGGTAACTCCGTGTGTCAGGTCTTTGTATAGTCTGCTTGGTGGAGAAGATGAAAAAGTTTTCCGGATTTGGGGGAGGTTTAGGTGGGAGGATATTACAGCCATCCAAACTGTCAGACTGGTTATCCCGAGTTCATCGGCATTCTCTGCAATGTGCCTAATTGCTGACTCTGTATGAATGAAACATGGGCTGTGATTACTGCAATCACTGTATATGCCTCCAGCAGGTGATGCTTTGGACGCCACAGAAGCAATAACAGGGTACTTGACTCCCTACCGGTATAATCTCAAAGCAAACCCCAACTTTCCCTTTTCACAGTAAGTGTGAAGACTGAGCCAGATTGGCCAATTAAAAAACAAAAACCTGACTAGATTCTTTAGGGCCAATTAGACTTGAAACACATTCGTGTTTCTAGAATTGCAGCTCAAACATTTGTTTGTCACCCAATTGCACAGCCTTGTTTTTGTTCTTGTTTTTTAATTCTGATTTTGCTTTGGGCCTTGCATGATGCCATGAGGTTGGATGAACAGTTCATGTCCTTAGCAGCACTCTCCTCTGAGAGTAAATGAGAATACATTTGTTTTTGTTTTTTTGAGGCAGGGTCTCTTTTATGTATCCCTGACTGTCCTGGAACTCACCATATAGACCAGGCTAGCCTTTTTACTCTTAGAGATCCATTTGCCTCTCTGCCTCATACGTGCTGGGATTACAAGCATGCACCACCACACTCAGCAAGAATACATTTTTTATTTTTAAACAGGGTTTTGTGTGTATCCCCAATTTATTTCCTTTCTGGCCTCCTGCAGAGTCTCCGGAAGAAAATTTGCCAATCATTCCTGCTTTCTATTTTTATGATGACAATCAAAGCTGGCCCGAGGAACACAATTTATGGATTTTTAAATGATCAGAGATGCCCTTAAAATGTGGTCTGCCAACCTGTACAAAATGGTCCTATATTTGTGAAGAGGGACGTAAGATAAAATGATGTTATACATCAATATGTATATATGTGTTGCTATGTAGACTTGGAGAATACTGCCAAAACGTATATGACAAGCTGTATCACTGCCTTTGTTTATATTTTTTTAACTGTGATATTCCCCACAGGCACATTAACTGTTGCACTTTTGAATGTCCAAAATTTATATTTTAGAAGTAATAAAGAGAAAAAATACTTACATGTTCCCAAGATGGTGGTGTGGTGAATGCTTGAGAGCGACTAACTCCATAGGGAGGGTCTGCCGATGCAAGATGGCTTCCAAATACCCCTGTTCATGTTTTGTTTTAAAAAGTGTAAATGGAGATCTTTATATTTCAATAAATGATTTATTATATATGATTTAAAGTTATGAGGGTCTACTACTTCTTTTGTTTTTCAGTTTGATCAGAATCCCATTCAGCTCCCTTTCTACAATTCAGCAGGATTTTGTTATAATATTCAGGTTGGCATTTACTTTTGTGATGCTCCTGTTTCAGCCCCCAAAGTGCTGGTATCATAGCCATGTAGCACAATGACTGACTGACTCTTTCTTTCCTTCCTTCCTTCCTTCCTTCCTTCCTTCCTTCCATCCTTCCTCTGAGTAGATTAGTTAGTAAAGCAGTTTTAGGTTTACAGGACAATTGGATGGAAAGTCAAGATCTCCTATACACTAATAACACCATACATGAGCAGGTTCTCTGTCTTTACTGTAACCTCTCAGAATGTACAGTGTTTGTTACGATAATGAGTCTGAATCTGTGCATCATCACCTATGCTATGCTTTAGCATCCTCCATGAAAGTTATACGTAGACTTATGACCTTCATATTTTGTCACATACCTGGTATCTCATCGTATAAATTAATGCAATTAATTAATGGAAAGTATAATGTTAATAATTGGAAAACAGATCCCTGTTTGAAAAATAATTCCTTATTGCCCAAATTCAGGCAGCCTATACATCCAAGCCTGTATCCTTCAGAGCATGGTGTTCATTGGGTGTTAGCTCCACCTTGGCTCTGCCCAGAAAGGAGAGCGATTCCTGGGAATAAAAACACACTTTTTTTTTTCCTTCTGAACAACAGCTACACAAGTTCCATCCTTTAACATAACACAGACAATTCTGTCTACTTTATCTGGTTTAGTGATTTTTTTATTAGGGGTTTAAAAAACCTTGAAAATGATTTTTTTTTTACGTTTTTGAATCTTACAATAACTTAAAAAAAATTCTACAATGACAGGGACGGTATCTCATATGCGTAGGAACCAAGATACCTCAAGACTAGTGGCTTTTGAGAAAGCCACGTAACTGAGTAATATGATAGCACTAGGATTAGAAATTCCAAATACATAAACCCCACTATCATTTGCATGATGAGCCAAGGAGAAAGCAAGAGATACTGAGAATATCAGCATACAGAAGTAGCTTGTCTGGCTTCTTTGGCATTTTCAAAGACAAGCAATGGGCAAGTGCATCCCGTAGAATTATTCTATGTGTTTGTAATCAGAGCCTTTCTTTTCAGGCTGAAATATATCAGCCCTAATAATGGGCATTGTGATTTTAACAGTGGTGTGCTTCATGAAAAGCAACTCAGGAAAACAGCCGACCATATCAGAATCCATCATAAGCTAGGCAATTTCCCTCGGGATAACAGAACAGAATTTTTTTTTATTATCTTTAACTCCAAATAAGCATAAAGGCTAAACCCAATATCATCATGGTAGTGGTGTTTATAATAGAGACAATTGTTTCATCCCGAGTTAAAATGTGTGTGAAAATACGTATGTGTTCTTAATTAGCAGTTTATGTCATCCTGCCCCACCTGGCTACACAAATAGCACCTGTGTCCTGAAGAATAATGAACACCATTTCCCAAATAGATTCATACACCAGTAATGCTTCCATCATCTACACTGTAGTTTACATACAAAGTGATGAAGATATCGTGGATGCATGGTCTCACGTGGCAGGGGAATGTATCTGCCCCCCCCCATTCTGGTTTATAGGCTAATTGGAATTTTTAAAAGGTTTGTCACATTAGCCTGGCAGATGGCATTTTGCTTTATCATTGTTCATGGGCATTAATGACTTCCCTCTGGAGCTTGTGTATCCTGTCTATTTTGAATTTCATCACATTTCATGCCGGCTGCTCCAAACAGAATCAGAACCAGGCTTTTCTGTGTGAAGCTTGGCTTGTAGACTGGTTGGTCTACCCAAGTTGGATGCTTGACTACAATGAAGCTCTCTGAAACAAAGGAAAGTTGTTGGGGATCTGTGCTGGCTATACTGTCCATCTTTGTTGTGTTTAGATGGCTCTCCCACAGGGCTCCTGGTAGAATCAGGTGTACACAAAGCCATTTTCAGACTGGATGCATCCTTCATGAGTGTGGGATGATTACGCCTCCTTTCTTCCTCCCTCAAAAGGCTGGGTTTGCTTTCTCAAGTGGAGAGAATACATGACAGCATGATGCAATGGGCCAGCCACAGGAAGCCATTTTTAAAATTAATTTCCTCCAAGAATGTTTATTATAGGGTAGACTCCTCCTTGTGGAGTTGATATCTAAAATGTATAAGCTTAAATGAGGCAGCTGGAAGACTTCATTCTAGTCAACTTGGGACCCGAGGGGACCAATACATCACACAGAAGAGCGGGGCAGAAAATTGTGATTGGAGTTCACAGGCCTTCCTTGGAGTAATGAAAAGTCTGAGAGTAGAACACAGAGTGCCATTCACTGGATCGTCTTGATGAGGCTGAAGGTTTTCTGTGTGGAGGGGATACAGGCAGACACCATGCTGAGGGCAGGGAGCTTGGATTGGGATAGCTTTGTCTCCTCCTGATCCTGTCTTTGCTATGATTCTAGACACTTCCATGACAGCCTGCATGTCTCTTTCCAAACTATTCCTATAGGCTTCAACCTTACTGAGCTGGACATTAGTTCAGGCCCTGGGATTTAGCAACTATTACAAAGTATAAGACTGTTGCATTGAGCCCATAGTGCCCCCCCTCCCCCCGCCTCTCCCTTAGCACAGGACAGATCTTGTTTGAGGTCAGTGCATTCCCTGGGGACAGAGGCTGATAGATTTACTTGCAAGCTGGTTGTAAAGACTGGGATTTTAAAAAGGAGTTACTTTTACTCGTGTGTGTGTGTGTGTGTGTGTGTATGTGTGTGTGTGTGTGTGTGTGTCTGTGAAGGGGCAGAAGGCTACTGTGGGGTACGCCTCTACATTGCTTCTTTACCTAGATTCAGGGTGTTGCTCAACAAATCCACCTTATTTATGGAACTTTTCTGGACTTTTTTCTTTGTTTTTCTCTAAGTGTTCTCCATCCATGGTTGGTTAGATCTGTGGGTATGGAGACCCCACAGATCCAGAGGGCAGACCATATGCTGTAAGTTTTAATGCATCTCTGTATATTTTGTTACTATACTTACAAATATTTCATATTTTCATGAATTTTTTTCTTTTGTTTTTGAGTCAGGGTTTCTATATATTGCCTAGGTTGACCTGGAACTCACCAAGTGGCTCAGGCTGAACTCAGGTTTCCTGCCTCAGCTTCTGAAGTGCTGTGATTACAAGCCTATACCATCTAGTTAATGGCATTTGATTTTTTTTTCAGTTTCTATTAATCGACCTTATTATATTCTGACACCTTGCATCCCCAAATGCCTATCATTTAAGATCTTGGTTCTGCATGTAGATGAAAACCTGGTGTTTGTCTTTCTGGGTCTGGTCTATTTCATATAACATAAAGATTTCCAGTAGCATCTATTTCCTCTCAACTGCCATGCTCTCATTGTTTTTGTGTGGGTGTGTCACATTTTCTTTATCCATCCATCTTTGATGGATGTCTAGATTGATCCATTTCCTGTAAGTAGTGCTGCAAAACCTTGTGCATGCCTTATACTTTTTTTGTTTTTGTTTTTGTTTTTTGAGACAGGGTTTCTCTATGTGGCTCTGGTTGTCCTGGAACTTGCTCTGTAGACCAGGCTGGCCTCTAACTCAGAGATCCACCTGACTCCCCAGTGCTGGGATTAAAGGCGCACATAATCATCCCCAGTTGTTTGTTTACTTTCTCCTTCCAATGTGAGTGCCTTTTTTGTTTGTTTTGTTTTGTTTTCTTGAGACAGGGTTTCTTCATGTAACAGCCTTAGCTGCCCTGGAACTAGCTCTAGACCAGGCTGGCTTTAAACTCATAGAGTTCAACCTGCTTCTGCCTCCTGAGTTCTGGGATTAAAGGCATGCACCTCCATCGCCTGACTATGTGGGTGCTTTTTATTCTTGTGTTTACATTATTGCGTTGGCAGAGAACTCCAGCCAAGATAAAAAATGGAAACAGTGAAAAGCCCACCCGTCATTGCCTGGTTCTGGATGTTACAGGGAAGGTAATGAGGCTTCCTCTATTTGATGTAATGCTAACAAAAGAGTTTCACAGATCACCTTTAGTGGGTTAAGGAAGCTTCTTTGTCTCCTAATTAGGTGAGAATTTTCATCTGGAATGGATATTAAAATGCATGAAGAGCTTTGTTTGCGCATACTGAGAGAATACAGTTTTCTTTTCCTTTCCAAGATTTAATCAATTAATCAAATTTATTTATCATATGGGTGTGTGTAAGCCTGAGTGAGTTTATGTGTAGCACATATGTGCAGGAGACTTTGAAGGCCAGAAGAGAGTGTCAGATCCCTGGAACTAGAGTTATAGGTGGTTGTGAGCACTGAAAACAGGTCCTCTACAAGAACAGCAAGTGCTCTTAACTGCTGAGCCCCTCCCCTATGTATTTGTTTGTTTGCTGCTTTTTTTTTTTTTGGAGAGGGAATCTCACTATGAATCTATGGATTTCGTGGAACTGACTATATAGACCAGGCTGGCCTGGAACTCACAGAGACCCACCTCTGTCTACCTCCCAAGTGCTGGAATTAAAGACATGTGTCACTATGCCTGGTCCTGTCTCTTTTCTAAAATTATTTATTTATTTATTTAGTCTCTCTCTCTCTCTCTCAGTGTATGTGTGTGTGTGTGTGTGTGTGTGTGTGCGCGCGCGTGCACGCGCATGCACACAAATGTGCCCATGGAGGTCACAGGATCTTATCTAGAAATCTGTTCCCTCCTTCTACTGTGTGGGTTCTGGGGGGGGGGGTGGAATTGAACCTAGGTCATCTGGCTTAGGAGCAGGAATATTTGCCCACTGAGCCATCTCACCACAGTTAGCATTCTTGTATTGTCTCCTTATGTGCTCCACGCTGGCCTCACACTCATACTTAGCTCTCTTACCATGTGCTGGGACTCTAAGCATGTGCCACCACACTTGGCTTAAATATTTGATCTAATTCTCCATGGAACCCACCCAGGCTTGGAAGGATTTTACACTGCTA